TCACATTTTTATGCCTTACTATACTATGACGTTTTTTCACATTTTTATGCCTTACTATACTATGACATTTGATGCCTTACAGTTCTATGACGTTTTTATGTAATTTTATGCCTTAATATACTATGACGTTTTTTGACATTTTTATGGCTTATTATACTATGACTTTTTATGCCTTACTATACTATGACGTTTTTATGCCTTATTATACTATGACATTTGATGACTTACAATACTATGACATTTTTATGAAAATTTATGCCTTACTATACTATGCCGTTTTTAATGCCTTACTATACTATGATGTTTTTATGAAAATGTATGCCTTACTATACTATGACATTTGATGCCTTACAATACTATGACGTTTTTTTGAAAATTTATGCCTTACTATACTATGACGTTTTTTCACATTTTTATGGCTTACTATACTATGACGTTTTATGGCTTACTATACTATGACATTTTTATGCCTTACTATACTATGACGTTTTTTCACGTTTTTATGCCTTACTATACTACAACTTTTTATTGCTTACTATACTATGACTTTTTATGGCTTACTATACTATGACGTTTTTATGCCTTACTATACTATGACTTTTTTCACATTTTTATGCCTTACTATACTATGACGTTTTTTTACGTTTTTATGCCTTACTATACTATGACTTTTTTCGCATTTTTATGCCTTACTATACTATGACCTTTTATGGCTTACTATACTGTGACGTTTTTATGCCTTACTATACTACAACTTTTTATTGCTTACTATACTATGACGTTTTTATGCCTTACTATACAACAACTTTTTATTGCTTACTATACTATGACGTGTTTATGCATTACTATACTATGACGTTGTAATGAAAATGTATGCCTTACTATACTGCGCTGTTTTTTGTCATTTCTATGCCTTACTATGCTATGACATTTGATGCCTTACTATACTATGACATTTTTATGAAATTTTATTCCTTACTATACTATGACGTTTTTTGATTTTTTTATGCCTTACTATACTATCACAAGTTTTCACATTTTTATACCTTTCTATACTATGACATTTATATGAAATTTTATACCTTACTATACTATGAGGTTTTTTCACATTCGTATGCCTTATTATACTGTGAAATGTTTTTTGCCTTACTATACTACGACATTTTTTTCACACTTTTATGCCTTATAATACAAGGCCTTTTTTTGATGTTTTTTTGTCTTATTTCACTATGACTTTTTTGATGTTTTTATGCCTCAGTATACTTTGACATTTTAAGCATTAATATACAATGACGTTTTTTTATGTTTTATGCCTTAATCATCTATGGTTCATGAGGCATGAAAAGTCATTCTAAATCCATGACAAAAAGCAAGGGAACACAGGTTGTCCAAACAATAATACATTTATTAACAACAAAATTATGTAACTTACACAAAAGAACTAAGGTAAGCCATGAGGTGTGGACATCAGTACAATAAGTGACGTGGGTGCATGTGTGCATGAGTGGGATGTATGAGGTGTGAGCTGTTATCTGCATGAACACAAAAATACAATGTGCTGAGCAGCTCAGAGAAAGCACCCAAAGACAGCCTGTAGATGCGATCTCTTATAGGACAGAAGCAGTGGGCACAGGTGCTTCCAACTAGGTGATCTTGGTGTAACTCCGCCCTCCAGACTCCTGCTGCACAAATTGGAAAACAGAACAATAACTTCAATAGAAATAACAAAATCATGTAAGGGGTCAGACACATGCCTTACTACTGTGACTTTTTCTATTACTTACTATGACTTTTTTTGCCTAACTATACTATGACGATTTTTGAAGTTTTTGTTCCTTACTATATGATGATGTTTTTATGTAGTTTTTAGACCCTACTACACTATGTCATTTTCATGATGTTTTTATACCTCACTATACCATGACATTTGATGCCTTACTATACTATGACATTTTAATGACGTTTTTATACCATACTATACCATGACATTTTTTTCAAATTTTTAAAGCCTTATTATGACATTTTTTCACATTTTTATGCCTTAATATACTATGATGTTTTTATAACTTACTATACAATCAGTTTTTATCACATTTAATGCCTTACTTTAATAGGACAATTTTTTGCCTTACTATACTATGACATTTTTTGACATTTCTATGCCTTACTTTACTATGACATTTTATGAAATTTTATGCCTTACTATACTATGACGTTTTTTGACATTTCTATGCCTTATTTTACTATGACATTTTATGAAATTTTATGCCTTACTAGACTATGAAATTTTTTCACATTTTTATGACTTACTATACTATGACTTTTTTCACATTTTATGCCTTACTTTATTATGACATTTCTATGCCTTACTTTACTATGACATTTTATGAAATTTTATGCCTTACTATACTATGACGTTTTTTGACATTTATGTTCCTTACTATACTATGACATTTTCATGAAATTTTATGCCTTACTATACTATGACTTTTTATGAAAATGTATTTCTTACTATACTATGACGTTTTTTTCACACTTTTATGCCTTACTATACTGTGACGTTTTTATGCCTTACCATACTGACTTTTTTTCATATTTTTATGCCTTACTATACTATGAAGTTTTTATGCCTTACCATACTATGACTTTTTTTCATATTTTTATGCCTTACTATACTATGAAGTTTTTATGCCTTACCATACTATGACTTTTTTTTCATATTTTTATGCCTTACTATACTATGAAGTTTTTTTGCCTTACTATACTGTGATGCTTTTTGACATTTATATACCTTACTATACTATGACATTTTATGAAATTTTATGCATTCCTATACTATGATGTTTTTATATCTTATTATTAATTTTATGCCCTAATATACTATGACATTTATACTATACTATGACGTTTTTTGACATTTATGTTCCTTACTATACTATGACATTTTCATGAAATTTTATGCCTTACTATACTATGACTTTTTATGAAAATGTATTTCTTACTATACTCTGACGTTTTTATCAAAATTTATGCCTTTCTATACTATGAGGTTTTTTCACATTTTAATGCCTTTCTATACTATGACATTTGATGCCTTACTATAATATGACGTTTTTATGTCTTACTATACTATGACGTTTTTTGACGTATCTATGCCTTACTATGCTATGATATTTTCATGAAATTCTATGCCTTACTATACTATAACTTTTTCCCACATTTTTATGTCTTACTTTACTATGACGCTTTTATGAAAATGTATGCCTTACTATACTATGACGTTTTTATTCCTTACTGTACTGTGACATTTTTTGATATTTTTAAGCTTTACTATACTATGACATTTTTTGATACTTTTAAGTCTCACTATACTATGCCATTTTTATGAAATTTCTTGCCTTACTAAATTATGACTTTTTTTTCACATTTTTACGCCTTACTATACTCTGACGTTTTATGCATCCTTTATGACTGATAAAAATACATTGTATAGCAAGGCAAAATAATAAAAAACATCATAGCATAGTAAAGATACCTCACCTTCACCCTATCAACGATTTCTACTGCATCCTATCTACATAACATGCCATATGGCAGATGCTCCTATCAAAAGCATTGTACATTACACTGCGTGCATACATTTGGAGCATGCCGGCCTCGGGGGGAATCAGCTGTGTTTGTTTCATGGTGTTACTCTTGAGCTACACAGGAGCAGGATTTACTTCAGCCACATGTTTTGCCTCAGTAGCAATAGAGCTACATGAGCAGCAGATGAAGGGGCGCTTGATGTGCACCGCAGCCTGCAGACACACCCTCTCCACTGGGCACAGCCACAGCAGATGGCCCAGCATTGTGGAGCTGAATGGGGATAAGACAGAGAGCATGTGGTTAGGAGGAGCCCGGCTTTGCTTGTGCAAGTTGGGAATGGGTTGTGTTTGAGAGCCTATTACAGCAAATGTTTGTGTCATAGCAGGTTATTTCTGTAGTTTAACTGTAGTGTGAGATGTTCTATTGTAAAAATGCACAGTGAGATCATTAGCATTGATCAAGGTCGGCGTTTTTCATCTGTGTTGTAGTGGCTCACTGTTTCTTGGTTTCTCTGTTCTCTCCTTTTCTCTACTCTGCTTTTATCCTTCCAACACTTTCATCATGGCCTCCCTCCAACCGCACCCTGTTTTGTTCATCCACCGTGTGTCTAATTTTTGCATTTGCATTGTGCTTTATCGTGGGACTCCTGCTGCTGTCTTCCCCAACATTTCAATCCTGGTGATGATTACCTGAAACCTTTTATTTTATCGTCAACACTCCCGCCAATCCACACAAATTCCCCCCATATCCTCCAACCTCCTCCTCATCCTCCAACTGAACCCCCCACCCCCCACCTCCCACTTCCCACTCCACCATTGCCGACCCACATATCCGCTCCAGTCCTAATCCTCGAGAGGGTTGAGATGGAAGACCTCAGCAACAAGACTCTGAAGATCACAGACTTTGGCCTGGCTCGAGAGTGGCACCGCACCACCAAGATGAGCGCCGCCGGCACCTACGCCTGGATGGCTCCTGAAGTCATCCGCTCGTCTACATTCTCCAAGGGTAGCGACGTTTGGAGGTGGGCAGAGGAGGGGGGCTTATGCAGCAAACACTCTGCACCAGCTTGTAGAAATTGGTCTGAAAACTGAGCCAAAAAAGAGAAGCAGTTTATCCACCAGGCACAGGAAAAAAGTTCAGCTCCGGCAGCAGTTTCCATAGTAACAAAGCAGAGACACAGAACAGGACAGAGTGTTGTGTTTTATGTGATGAGTACAAAACTAAAGTAGGCTAAAGAGTACATTAACTATAAATATACTACACTGAACTTTAGGTTCATGTTGGAGGAGTCAGCATGGAGAGTGTCTCTGCTTTATTTAAAACACTAACTTAACACAGTCAGACACAATGTCTTGTAATACAGTATATTTTACTACACGGTCCGTCTATTTTAAGATTCAAAGGTTTTATTTGTCACATGCTTGTGCAGTATATGCAGTGAATTCAGGGTGGCATGCTCTTCAGGCTGTTCTAAACAGGCTAGTATGCAGAAAATGAAAAATGTACATATTGCAAAAACAAAAAAATACAATATGATTTTGCAAATGTGCGAGGTGGTGCGATTCATAGAAGACAGTTTCAATTAAATTTCATTTAGGTCAACATAATTTCTGCAGAGGTAACGCTCATAATTGCACAGACATACATATATATTGATTCGTAATTTTTATATTTTATGTGTCGATTGCAATGTGGTTTGTTAAAGATTCAGTCTTGTGTGTTATTACTGCAAGCACAGCAGAAAAGACTGATTGATTAATTGACCAACAGAGAGTTAATCAACTTAGCTATCAAATGTGAAACTTTGCTGTTTTTCAATGTCTTACATCAAAGCAATATTTGTTCTGTTGGTCGTACTAAACAAGCAATTTGAAGATGTCACCGTGGGCCCTGAGAAATTTTAACGTGCATTTTCTGACATTTTATAGACCTAAGGATTCGTGGATTAAACTTTAGAAGTAAGAATGTGGATATTCCTGTTGTAAGACTTGAATATCTAATGTGGGAATATAATTGAAATGTGTCTCAGTTTCACACTCCAGTGATGAGTCAGATGAATAATTTGTTTGCTTCAATGCCACGTGTCATTTTTCTTCTTTGACAGTCTGCTGTGTTGTCCTTACATATGCAGCAGCATTACCGGCACAGCTCAGATGTTCCAGACCAAATGTGGGGTTTCCCTCTAGAACAGGATTAAAGTGTGATCAGTGAGAGAGCCAAGCGAAGGCAGCCATGCATTAAAACAGTCATGATAGGAAGGTGAATGTGCTAACCAGGGAAAGGGGGGGAGGGGGTTACTCTGTCTCCCTGATCAATTCTACTGCATTAGTGTAGAATAAACCTGGAAAAAAAAGAAGAAAAAAGCTTAAATAATTTTGATTTCATGAGTGCGGTTTGCATAAGAGAATACAATTTACACCAGGAATCGCAGACGGTCACATCAGAGCATCTGAATGTTATTCTTTAAGAGTCATTTCCAAGTGCTCTTTGATCCAGGTCTGTCAATATGATCAACCACATTTTCCAGAATTTAGATAATGATTTAACATGACAGCAGAATCCCCCCGCCACACAGAATCCGTGACATTCAGCCCAGATTTGTGTGATTTCTCTGTCATTTACTGAAGATCATCAATGTGTGGTTTTGCCGTTGGTCGTGAATCTGTCAGCGACTTTACTTCTCTGTTGGCATTTTTCTTCTTTCAACCTTTCCTGTCTCGCCGTGATATTTCCATGAGTAGAGCGCAAAGTACAGCCATTCAAATCCCTTTCTGACATTTATTCAAATACAGTAGGTCTGCCAAACATTCACACTCTTTGTCAGCAAACATCCTGCTTGACACGCATATATTCATACACACGTTTATCTTTAGAACAGATATTATGTAGTAAGTCACTTTGCACTTACCTCAAGCCCCTCATCTCAGGGTGATATTGTAGCATCAGTGGAAGAGCACTATTTGAAGATGTATATCCATTATGAGTGTTTACAGCTTCAGTCATGATCGTTTCTCATCATCATTTGGTATGTCTTTCTTTCCTTTCGTTTAACTTCAAAGTTACGGTGTGCTGTTGTGGGAGCTGCTGACTGGAGAAGTTCCATTTCGGGGTATCGACGGTCTCGCGGTGGCTTATGGAGTGGCAATGAACAAACTTGCTCTGCCCGTCCCCTCTACTTGTCCTGAGCCCTTTGCACGTCTCATGGAGGGTAAGACAGAAAAAATATTAATATTTCCTGCTCATAGCAAATTAGGTGGAACTTATCATGTAGAACTACGTCCAAGCATCTTATGTCGGAGAAAATATAAGACAGGTGTCAGTTTATGAGCTAAAACGATACCATTGAACTTTCATTATTAAACATGAGATGTGTAACCACAAGAATATTTTGTGTTCATCCACTGCAGCAAGGAAAGCCTCTGAAATATGAATAATGACTTGCATCAAATAACCAAAACAGAATATTACTTTCTGGAACTATGTGAATTGCCAAAAATAATTTTTGGTTGAGGGAAAGTTGGTCTGAGACTGTTTCTCATCTTTTGCCACAGACTGCTGGAGCTCAGACCCTCACTCGCGCCCACAGTTCACGTCTGTTTTGGACCATCTGACAACCATTGAAGAGTCAGGCTTTTTTGAAATGCCAGCAGAGTCCTTCCACTCTCTGCAGGACGACTGGAAACTGGAGATCCAGGAGATGTTTGACCAACTGAGGATGAAGGAAAAGGTAGAGATGAGATGAGTTTCTGTAAAAACCTGCAATTAAAACTCAGGCTCTTCTCTGATGACATACACATTAAAATCTATGTGCAATAGGAAGTTTAAAATTGGGAGTTGAATGCAGGTGTTTTACAGGCTTCAAATGCTTTTTCCTTGTTTCCCCAGGAGCTGCGATCGTGGGAGGAGGAGCTGACCCGAGCGGCGCTGCAGCAGAAGTGTCAGGAGGAGGCGCTGAGGAGGCGCGAGCAGGAACTGGCCGAGCGTGAGATCCACATCCTGGAGCGAGAGCTCAACATCATCATTCACCAGCTCTACCAGGAAAAGCCTCACGTGGAGAGCAGGCAGGGCAAGTTCCGCCGCAACCGCCTTAAACTCAAGGATGGGAACAGGATCAGCCTGCCTTCAGGTACTGCAAACAAACTGTGGTGCGACAGTGTCTGGTCAGTATACACAGGTTTTCAGTCTGAGCTGAAGTTATAGCTGGGATATTGTTATATAGTATTGGTCTATATCTGGTTTTACTTTAAATGTTTGCTTTGCAGGGTCTTACAGGGTTAGATTTTGCTGATATTTTTGTACATGTAGAATTAGTGGCCATCATTTTTTTTTTATCACCAAATATTGTATAATGTACAGGATGCAATTTACTTTTTTTTTTAGATTTTCAGCATAAAATCACTGTGCAGGCGTCTCCCTCGCACGATCGACGGAGGAGTTTGCTCAGCAGCAGCTCCAGCCCTCCAACCAGTCCACCGATACTGCCCCGTCTGAGAGCCATCCAACGTAAGAACCTTATATTTACATTTTGATCAGATTTTTATTGATCATTATTACCATGGAGCACACACTTTTTCCTGCAGTTATTATTCATTATAAGCCGTTTAATGTTTGCCTTTTGTTCTCAGTTGTCTGATGTTTATCTTTACTAATCTCTTGTTTTGCAGTCACTCCGGGAGAGGGGTGTACAGCCTGGGGTCGCAACACAGGTTTTCAGCAGGATGATGAGGAGGTTGAGAGGAAGGGCTCCAGGAAGAAAGGCAGATCCCGTGCCTGTGGCCAATACAGGGAGCACAGCGCTGATGACAGGTGGGAGGACAAAATGAACAAACTCAGCTCGCCGCTCAGTTTACTAAAATTTTCCGTTCATTACACTTTCTACTGATAGCATTACTCCAATGTTTTTAGCGTAATAGGTTAGATCATATACTGAAATGAAAGAAAGTGTCCTTGGGAAAACAAAATCTGAGCCTTTTGTTTTTATTATTTCTTCTTGACAGTGTGAAGCCTCCCCATGAGGGCAGCAGGCAGCGGTCCTGCAGCGCTCCAAACCTTCGCAGATCCCCGAGACACAGTCCAGCGGTGCCTGGGGTGCCGAGCCTTGTGGAGATGGGTAAGCAGGACCGGCGTGGTGGGTCTATTTTGTCTGCCGTATAAACACACTGCATGATAATACAGAAAAAAAAGTCTTAAGGTTAAAGAGGTGGCAGACTGGCTGGAAAAACATGGAAGAGGAAAGTGAGAGAGTAACATACTTCACTCCCACATGGCTCTTAGTGGTTGACCTGGGGAACTCACAGATGTGCATGTTTGCAGCTGCATGAATGCAAACAGGCTGAAAAAGGATCTTGCTCACTCAGCAAACCGAATTCAGATGGAATTCAAGAATCAGTGTCGTACTAGGACTTTTTCATGTGTGTGAACTGCTCTGTGTATGTGTGTGTGTGTGTGTGTGTGTGTGTGTGTGTGTGTGTGCGTGTGTGTGGGCTATACTTGTGAGGTCGGACAGCTTTGTGGGGACTAAAATGCTGCACCCCACATGTTTGAAAGGCTACTTCAGGGTTAAGATTTTGTTTCAGAGTGAGGCACAGAATAAGGTTTATGTTAGGTTAGAGAAATTGTTAATGTTAGGCATTCAGTTGTGATGGTAAAGTCAATGACAGTCCCCAAGACAAAGGTGTGTGTGTGTCTACAAATAGCCTACTGGTTTGTGAATGTGTATGAGTGTAGAAGCTTTATATGATAACAGAACTGATATTAACATGTGAATGATCTTGTTTTCAGAAAATGAAGACTGCTGCTTCACTACTGAGCCAGGAGCAGCTCCTGGTCAGTCCTACCTCTGCATCCCCTTCCACAAGGAGGGTCACTCGGGGGTCGCTGCTACTGCTGACAGTGAGGGAGATGAGTACTGCCCCAGTGGCCAGGTGCCAGGGACGCCACCGTGCAAGAAGAGCCCAGCAGGGGGTCGGCGCTCTGAGCTGGTGCTGCTGGGCTGTGGAGCTCTGCTGGCAGCCGTCGGACTGGGATGCAACCTCTTAACTTTGGCCCAACCGGAGGAAAGCATTAAATCACGATGGGAGGGCTTCTTCCACAGAACAGTGGGGCAGAGGCGAAGCACCAGCCCCCCGACTCGCAGACTGTTCCGGCGGGAAAGCCCGCTGAAGCCCTCGGCGCCCTCACTACCCGAGCGAGGCCTACCCTCTTCCTATACACTGCTGTCCTTATCATCAGTGTCTGACTGCAACTCCACCCGCTCACTGCTGCGCTCCGACAGTGAGGAGCTGTTAGTGTACCGCCCCGCCTCACCACCCGCACAGGCCTCTGTCAAACTACAACATCAGGCCATCCAAACCCCAGTCAACCCGCTGGTCAACACCCACCTTGAGAGCTTCAAGCGTAACCCTCGCCAGTCTCTCACGCCCACCCATGTACCCTGCGCTCCAAGTTCCTCACGTAGCCTGCGCCGAACACCATCAGACGGAGCCATCAAGAAAAGCTGCCCACCTAATAATCTAGAACCTTTGCCAGAAAAAACAACATTGCAGAACACAGGTAAAGACACGTTGGTCTAGACTGAAATATCTCAGCAGCTACTGGATAGATTGGCATGAAATTTGATAGAGACATTCAGACAGACATTCATGTTCCCCTTCAGATGAATTCTAATATCTTTGGTGATGCATCATCAGGTCAACATTTCAGTTGGTAGCAAATGTTAGCATGCCGTTTTGCTAAACCAATAGGGTGAACGAGGTGAACATGATACCGGCTAGACATCTGCATGTTAGCATTGAAATTGTGAGCATGGTAGCATGCTAACGCTAGTAAGCTATTTAACTCACAGCACTTCTGTCTGGCTGTAGACTCTTTGTCACTTATTGGTCTTAGTCTGTTGTTTAACAAACCTCTGAAACTGCATTCACACTATCTTGGAAAACCAAAACTCTCCACGACCTCAATTAGAATTAATTGTGTTCAATTATTTAATAAATCGCCAATATTGTTCTGATAACAGCCAGTCTGAAATATGATGTTGGCTTTTCTCTTAATGTTTTTCCTCCTTTTTACCACAACAGGCGGCTTCAGAGGTTTAAAAGAAGACTGTCATGAGGTCCCCCGGCTCCCGGATCCCAATATTGTGTTTCCTCCAACACCTCGTCGACGCTGTGCTCCTGAACGCCCCAAAACCCTGGACTTTGTAGCCCGGCCTCGGCCTTCGCCCCGGGCGCGCTGTGATGTGTTTTGGGCAGAGGGGAGGCCCAGGGGAAATGGACATAACCTGGGTAACGGCGAGTCCCCCGCCCACACGTCCAGCACAGAGACTCCCCCCACTGTAGAGTTTGGGAGAGACCCGGCGGTGCTGCCCACCCCCATGGAGGCCCCGACACCCTACTCCCCCCGCAGGAATGAAAACCTGTTGGATCATCAGGATGAGGGACAGTACCGGGATGGAACCGTACCACTCTGCAAACCGGAGATCAGCTTTCCCAAAGACTCACCTTACCGCTATAGACCTGGATTTTGGTCCTAACTTGGCCCCAGCCCTTCACTGGTCCAACACAAGGAGGGGACTGTCCTTGTTGTTAGCCTTTGGATTGTTACAGGTCTGGGTCAATTAGTATTTAAAAACTGAGTCTTTTTTTTAGCTTTAATTGGTACTTAATGAGGGTGGTTCACCTTTCTCCATCTACAATATTGTCAATAAATTACAGGTAGACATTTACTGTGCATATTTTACCTTTCTGACTTTTGTTGTATCACCATATGTGACAGAAATCCTCCAACTTGGCATCTAAAGCTACTACAACAAGCCATGGAAAGTGTTTGAAAATATAATTTGACCCAGGTCTGGTTGTTAATGCATTAGAAGGGCAGAAGAACCATTTTTCTTAACCCTGTCATTTGTCATTCAAGATGTGAAGGACTTTCTTTTCTCTGTGGGAATAAACAGATGAGTGGCTTTGTAGCAGAATGGCATTAACAGTTTCACAAAGCTTTACATACTTTTCTTCATTTTAAACTTGAGTTGAAGATTGTGCATTTAATTAAGTGCACTTTTGGAAAGCATCATGAATGTAAAGCTTCAGGTTTTTTCCAAAAAAAACCAAAAAAAAAACGCTGTCTCTGATTATTTGTAATTTGTCTGTTAAAAGCATTGTGTTATTTGAACTAATCTCTAACTCCTGTGCTAGTAGCTGATGAATTCCTGTTTTGTACTGAGCACCTGTCATCACCAATCACCTCTATAGAGTGACATCCCACGGACAGGGTATGCTGTTGTATAATATGAGCACTTCTTTGCATTAGCAACCTACAGACTTGAAACAGTGTCAGTCCGACGTTTGACACTGTCTCGAGCTCTGAACTGTGAACTGTACTATAGAAAAGAATGTCACTAAAGCTTCGGTTTCAATTGGGACTGACTACCAGGAAGTCACAATATATCAATAATATCAATGAGCTCATTAATTCCTCATTGTTTGTTTGTGGCCCTGTCGGAGAAGCCTGTTTGGATCCCGAGCCACCAGTTGAGAAATGTTTCTCCAAACTAAAAAGGGAACTTTGTGTTTGTGATTCTGTAAATTGTCTGCCTCAAAAATTGTTCATCAAGGTGAAGGATGTAAAGTAAGTTTTAGGTTATGTAAACGAGAGACTGCATGGGTGTTGAATGGGCACACGGGTGAAGCAGGCCCTGGTGGCATGTGAAAGTTCGTTCGTCATTATTTACATTTGTACTGATTTGTTTTATTTTATTTATTGATTAATTTATCTGATGGTTTATTTTTATAATCCATTGTATTTGCCTTGATTTTTGACACTTATTAATGTTGCTCATGAATGTTTTCTGTGTTTTTGAGCGTTTGCACGAAACTTCAGTTGATTCTGAAAGTGCAACACTAAATAGATTTCACGACTGCAGCCACATCGACTTGCTTTATATTCAATTCAGTCAGTTTCACTGCATATTGAATTATCTTCTGTGTTTTTGCTTCTGGGCTTTTGCTTCAGCCAGGGTGCAAGTAGTTTCAATCCAACTGAGAACTACAGCTGAAATGATTGATTAATCGATATTTTGATAATCGATTAATAGTTGCAGTAAAAATGCCAAACATGTCTAGGTCTCAGCCTCTCAGTTGGGAGAATGTGTTGCTTTTCTTTATTTTATTTGACAGTAAACTGAATATTTTTTGCTTTTGCACTATTGTTCAGGAAAAACAAGCAAGTTCATGATAACAAGTTGGGCTTTAGGAAACAGTAACAGGCAGTTTTCAATATTTTATAGACTAAACATTTGAACAATCAAGAAAACAATCGACAAAATTGTAAAGGAAAAACTGTGGAAAAAAGGTATTTTATTGAGCTAAATGCATGAAAACTGGATTCTGCACATTGTTTTCATTTTGTTTCCACATTTATTTAGGTTTTTCTAGATCAGACTGGGGTTAAATATTATTTTGAAATAATTTTTACCCTTTGTTTCAACCTGCTAGACAAGCAAATAAATTATGTAAAGAGGTTCTAAGTCCGGCACGTAAACTGTCAAACTAGCAGGTAAAAAGAGCTAATTGATCAATTATTTGAAAAGTAATTAATAGAAACACTATCTGAATGCCTGTTTCTCTCATTTCATTTTCAAATGTCAAGTGACCTCTCAGTCTTTATCCTAAGTGTATGTACATGTAAATGTGAATGCTTTTTCTCTGAGGATGTGCAGAATGTGATCATGCTCAATGTACAAACACAGTGTTTCAAACTAAGGGTGTTAGTTGAAACGACATTCTCCCTCTAAGGTGTAGCCAAGGTGTCATTAACTGTCTGAAATGTTACCATGAATAAGCTGATCCTACTGTTGCTGATGGACATTGTTCAGGTTGAGAATAATAATACTGTTATTGACTGACTTGTATTTGCACTGGAACACACTGATTTGAGTAAAATCATAGTAAACAACAACGGGGGTCACAGATTCTTTTACAAGTCTGTGTCTTTCTGTAATAAATGGAAGGCTAACAGGGTAACAGAAGCTTTTATCGATATGTTTATAATAACAACGGCTCAAATGACTGTGTAATGTGAAAGATGTCACTCGTAGTGAAGAACCCACACCTGATTTATTGGAGACTAGCAACAGTTTGTTCCTCTCGTGTATTAGAATTAGCGTTACATTACATACAGAGATAAGCGTCCATTTATCAGAAAGATAATTACTCAAAAATCTTCAACCATTTGGATGAAAACATTTTCAGCTCACTGCTCGATGAAGAAGATTTTTAAACCAGTTTCTGTTTTCTGTCCAGGTAACTGACGGCTGCCATCATCGTTTGGATTAGGAAACAGAGCTGAAAACCTTTCTAGGCATAAATTGGACAAAATATTGTTTTCATCCACATGGTTTGAGAGGTCTTTGAGGATTGTGCGAATATATTCAGAAGTAGGAACTACAACTAAGTATTGTTAAATTACTTTGTTTTTTTAAACATCATCTTCCTGAGAAAGTAGCTAAAGCTAACACGAGAGGAACAGACTGGGGCAACCCAACACCAAACAACAGACAGAGTTAGCAGGTGAACATAGTGGAGCAGCTAGCAGCTACAGAGTCTTATGTTTCCCTCAGGAACTGGTGGAGACCAAAAACTGAACTAAAATGAGAGCGAATATTGGACTTACATTCATCAGGTGGTCAGAAAACACGTCGCCGAATGAATGCTAATGTTGCTCTGTGAGAAAAACAGATCAGTTATTGCAGGTTTAAAGTATTAGTTCTCGCTCCACTTTTAAATAATTGCCTGTGTTATAATCAGGATCTTTTTCTGACTCATGCCTCCTTATATAATTTTCTGAAAAATCACCTCCATGACCCATCTTATTACCGAGGCCTCACCATGGCAACTGCAGAGACAAAAAGGCATACAAATCATTTCAATCGGCTTCAGTTCACTTGTTTATTTACACATGTGCTTTCATCAGCATCTCTCCATAGATCTATTTTAGCTTATGAGGAATATCGGGAAGATGAAAGTTAAAAATTGAAGGGAAATCCACTGCTGCAGCGCCACAAAAAAATATTTCAATCAATAGACACATTTATTACGCATACCTTTACAGTAAACACACAGTATTTGTTGATACAGTAAATGCTGTGGATGAAGTGCTTCGTTTTGGCATTAATAAACACAAGTAGCTTGACTCTCCATAATATTTTCTTGTCATTTCTATAAAGTAGCCTATTTACATTTTGTGATATGTCTCTTAAATTCATACTGCAATTAGCAACCATGTGCTCTTGATGTCCTTCCCTATGCATTTTAAAGTAGAAACCTACTTAGAGAAAGCACCTTTATTAAGATATAGTTGAAAGTATAAAAAAAAATCTTGATCTTTTGTAGTACTTTCAAAATCAAAGTATGGTGACACAAGTGTAGGTGGTTGTTACTCACTTGCTCCATGCCATTCAAAAGACATCTTGTGCGAGGGCAGGTGCTAATTTACAGTTACACTTGCCTGCAGACTTGCTGGATTCACTCTTACGGACTTTGTTGCTCCTGTCTCTATCACAAGTGTTGGGCCTGTATGTGCAATGTTTGGACTGGCAGTGCATCAGTTTGTAATGGTTAAAACATACTTGGGATCGATTCATACTAGATAAGTTTAGTGGTTTGGAGACAGAAACTCAATATCTGGTACAATTTAAAAAAAAGAAAAAAAGAAATGCTTCAAGCACACAACGGGGAAGCTCAATCACATAACTGGCAACCAGATGCTGTGCAAAGCAAAAGCAAACATAACATCGCTTCACACCAAGACCTCTGACTCGTGTGTAAGGTCTGGGTGGCACACAGTAGGGCTGAAATTTATGACGGGTGAGAAGTCATCAGACATCAGAGTGCTTATGTCGCCTCTTTCTTTTCCCTTTGGGCATTCCGGCGAATCTTCATCTCTGTCAGCTGGATGTAGCGGATGACATTGGTGTCTGAAAAACAAAGACAGGAAAAGGCTGATTTATTTCCTGCTCATACAGGAAATGGCGCATAAATCTACCACTTAAACTGAACAGAGCGTGACATAGTAAAATGGCTACAGGAATTAATTTTTGGAAATATTTTCTCAGGGACTCAAAAAACATGTTTTTGTTTCCACATGGAGCACCATGCCCTTTTTTTTTTTTTAGCTTATCCTGTTGGGTTTTGAAATAGTCTTACAGGACAATTATGTTATCAATCAAGTGAAACATTAACAAGCTGCAATTATTGGACATTTATATGACAACAATATATATATATGAACCATTTGAAGATTTCAAGAGCTGAAGAGGATTGTGGGATATGTTCTGAAGCCTTGAGTTTGAATGAACCTTTGAATTTAAAATAATTCACATCACATTGTTGTTTAAAGTAATTAAAAAGTAACACAATGAAAGTGACAAGCGTAGTGTACTTGTGTGTCAAAATGAGGCCTTGGGACTACAAAGGGTCCCCCTGCAATAGAAAATAGTTTAATACCATTCTCCAGATGTTACAGCAGAAGAAGAACCTATGAAATTACTAATGTTACAGGTATTGCGATGGCTGCACCTAACTAACTAACGCAGCATCTTTCCTGCGTGTCATTCGCCTGCTGTTCCTTTCCTGTCCTGCAGTAGTCCTCTGTTTCCCAGCAACCCTCATTACCTGACTTACACACTCACCTGCGCACCTGTTTCCAATCCCCTAATTAGCTCCTCTCTATATGTGCCAGTAGTTTTCTTACATGTCACAGTATAAACAGCACACCTACATCTGAGCCCCTTCAGTGCCTCACCGAGCCTTTATATTTTTATATATATATTTTATTTTTCTTCGATCCAGTATGTGCGGAAGTTTCGTGAAATTCGGTACAGGCTGTGTTTTTCTTTCAGCCCATTTCATCGTCCCCAAGTCAGATCAATGGGAATTCATGGGTTTGGTACCAACAGAGGTCAGTTGGCCGGTTAAATCAATATTTCAATATCTCAACAACTATTTGATGGATTACCAGGAAATTTGGTACAAACATTTATGGACCCCAGAGGATCAATCCCACTGCCTTTGGTTATCCCCTGTCTAATGCCACCATCAGGCCACATTTTTCATTTATTCAAAGGTAAAACCTCAAAAACAAATTCATGGTAATTCATGGTTCCCAGATTATATTTTCTTATGATGAATGAATCTGATGATTCCCTATAACAATTAATTAGCAAATGTCACACACTAAACCCTTGATGGTAAACATTATACCTGGTCAACATCAACACGTTTGCATGATCATTGTGAGCATGTTAGGTGCTTAAAGTGCAGATGTTGATGCAGATGTGAACTGTAGACTCTTAGTCTCGTTACTTAATAAATGATGAAATACATTTAGAGGTTGTTTACTACCAATCAGTTAATGTGCTTATTATCAACAAGCTGCACAAACAGAGCAGAGCAGATAATCAAACACGGGGTGTGTGGTTTAATCCAGCTGTTGTTTATGGTCTTTGACATAAGAAGATTCAGGAGCCCCTGACTTACACTTGTGCATGCAAACAATGCAGCCAGGTCTAGAGGACTAATTAGACACTGGAGCTCAGTGTCACAGTGTGTCGGTCCTGACCTGATGGCTCCTGTTTGTGCGACTCCTTCAGATAGTGCAGGGCCTTCTGGAAGTCTCCTAGGTGGTAGTAGGCCACTCCGGATCGATAAAGAGCTTTGAAGTTCTTTCCCTCCTTGTGCAGCACTTTCAGACAGTATTCCTTCACTCGCTCATAGTTCACCAGCTCCATTTGTAAAAGACAGGCTGGATTGGGGAAAAGACAAGAGAGGGGAAGAAGTTAATAGCGACAGCACTGAATGAGCCAATGTTTGGATTTAATCACATAGGCTAGCAGAAGTGCTGATGTGTCCTGTCACCAAACTACGATGGGTTCTTTGGTTAGATCTTTAATATAAAACTAATATAATGATTGATTTGCCAAGGGGTGAATAAATACCATCTACATGAAGTGAAAATCAAAGAAAGTGAGGGGGATAGTGGGGTAAACCCAAGAATGACTCATACTCTGTATGAATCATTCATGAGCTCTGGAGTATTCCCAGAATCTTCCCCTGCTGAAAAGAGAACAGATAAGTGTAGTGTGTGTGTGTGTGTGTGTGTGTGTGTGTGTGTGTGTATAACGTCGCTTACCGGCCAAGCTGTTGTAACACTCCAGCTCTGCATTCTCCATGGCCCCCTTCTGCTCATCTGTCAGCGTGGTGGACTTGCTGATGGTCGGCAGGAGGGAGGACGGGGACTTGGAGCTGGTGTCCGGATCCCCCAGCACCCTGCACAGCCCCTTGATCTCCAGCAGAGCGCGGTGATACTTGCCGATCGCCTCTCGGTACTTCTTATCCTTATAGCACTGGGTACCTTGGCACTTGAAGTCCAGCGCCCGCCTCACGACGTCGGCTGGCTCGTTGTGGGATGGTTGTTTCCACATCGACCCACCATGATGCCTCTGCTGCTGGAGCTGCTGCTGCTGCTGCTGCTGCTGGTGGTATCTGGCATCTTTGGTCCGGCTGCTGCTGCTGTTGGGAGGCTGAGCGCACTGCTGGAGCTTCGGGGAGCCGCCGCCGCTGTCGGTGAGGCTGCCTCTGCCGCCGTCCACCCTGCCGTCATGCCCAGCCTGAATCACGCTCATTTCGATGTTATTTTATTCTAGCTGCCTTGACGCCCGGCTGTAAATTAGCTGGGAAACTGACGCCCTTTCACTGCATCCTCTCGGCCGTAGTCGCGTCCTCGCTTCGCCTGTGTCGCAGCTACGTCTTCTGTGTGCGCAACCCTGCGCGATGCGCGCTCCACCGTTGTAGCCTGTTCTAGTATTTTTCCCCTCCGACGAGCCGATTGGTCGATGAATGCAGGGCCAATGGTCTCATGGAGGTCGTCCAGCAGGAAGAGGAGAGGTTTGATTTCATTATCTGTTTCTTTGGAAATAATTTCATCATCGATTTGTTTGCAAACTGGACCACAATGTTCGATTTAAAATGCTTTTCTTTGTTGTTTGGCAGATGTTTTATTCACAAATGGAAATTTCAATCATGCATTATTGTTTTTAATTGATATAGAAGTCACGAGTGTTATTTTTTAATCCTGCCTCAACAGATGTCAGTATACTTTGTATTCTTTGTCTTGTCAGTCTTGTATCATTTAGTGTTACAGCCAAATGAAAGAACCAATTATTGATAGTGACATTTTTATCAGATTTCTCTCTCTCTCTCTAGGCCATAAGCAAATGCTTGTAGACATTTCCAGTATTTCAGCCTCCTTAAACTAAATAGACCTAGGCTATATTACAGTAAGAAGAGCTCTTATCGCCGGTGAATATCAACTCCCTCCTTCCGCCGAAATACTCCTTTTGTCTGTCGCTCTTATCACAGATTGGAGGAATGCAGCCATCTCTACTCAGATGAACCAGATAGCCTCGATCATCTGCCTGCCTCCCTCCCCAACTGCTCGTTTACTGCGCAGCCACTTGAGACAGACTCATGTCAGGCCACAGTCTCTGTAATGACAGGCTATGATGTCATTCAAACCGGGGTTTTCTGCAGGGTAATGGTGTTACGAGTCACTATTAAGATTGGGGAGGGAAGCCAGGTGAAGACAGATGAATGAGGTCGTTCTCATTTTATCGACAACACTGAGTGTGTGTGAGCTTGTTTAACCTCCATGCTTATAGATCCATCTGTCCTGTCACGGTCACAGGGCAGTGCACTCAGCTGTCCGGGTGTGTCCCTGGAATTTCAGCTCCCTGGAGCAAATGTTGCTGATCAAAAATAAAAACCATGAACTGCGAAAGCTATTAAATACGACTGGTTGTTTCATGCTTTGACCGATGTTAGTTCACAATGTCACGTGCCTTTATTTGGACTCTAGATAAACATCTAGAGTCTACAAGAAAGATGTAGCTACACAGGCACATGCACAAACAATATCTCTCTATGAAATGAAAGAGAATATTCCTGTGTGCATGTGTAGTCGATGGGGATATAAACAAGACCCGTGGTAAAAGTACTAATAACATACAGTAAATGAAAAGTTCTGCATTCACAATGTTAAAAAGTTAAAGTTAAAATGTGTTAAATTATAAATGAATCTATCATAAACTTATCTGTAGTGCATTAATGTGCATGTAGAATTTTAATGTTGCAGCTGCTTTGAGGTACAGCCAATTTGTAACTACTTTATAAGGCTGCAACCAATTATTATTTTCATTATCGATTCATTTCCTGACTATTTTGTTGATCAACCAGTTGTTTGTTTGTAAATTTGAAGAAAATAGACATAAATAATGACAATATGCATCAACTGCTTCTTCATTCAATTTCAAGCCAACAATACAGCTTCAGCTTGTGCAGAAGCTGCAATAATCATATATTTAGAGTGAGAATGTATCACTGATTTTGATTTAGAATTGTTTGTTGCTTTATTCAGCCATCTTTCATTTGTAAAAATATAACCACTCAGCTGTAACTACTCACACCTGACTGAGTGCACGCAAAAGATTCAATACTTTCAAATGGATCAATATTTTTAGTCTTATCTCTCTGGACCAGATTCTTTGAGGATGAAAAACTATACTATCCTCATGGATTGTGCATTTTTTTTCAGAGAACCCATTCTTTTCTAAGAATTCACATTTCTTATTCCTGTGCCCCAGAACAGTTTGGTCAACATTTGTGAGCATGCAACACTCTCCCCTAAATTTAGAAACCAAAGGGAGAACCTTAAAATGTGCAATATCATCCCAGTTTGTTCTATAACAATGATGCTGTGAGGTCATAAAAAGTTTGTGTCATTTCTTACATCAAAATGGGTGTTTAAACTTCATATCCAAATAAAATCTGGATTAGACCTGTTGGAGGGTTATTTAGGTACCTTATTTCCTCCAGTGGCTCAAAATAATTATACCCTCAGTAGCCTGACTGATGAAAACAAGCCTTTGGCTTTTTTAGAATATGACATTTGTAAATTTATACGTCCAGAACCTGTTTTTCTACTGTATTAGTTCATCATTTGCACTATAGTTCTTAATGTTGGGGTTCAATTAAAAAGTGCATTCCACATTTTCATTTGTAACTTATGACATTTAATCGATATTTTAATAGATAGGTTTGTATTATATGAATAGATAATACAAACCTAATGTCCTTGGGCACAGGAATAATGTGACATTTAAGCCTTTTATTTAGACAAAATTGCTTTCAAATGAATGAACAGTATGTTCATAAATGTTGTAATTATTATTCATTTGTATCTTAAACTTCATGCACAACAGCTTTACCTTCACTTCCTGCTGCAGTTGATGAGACAAAGCGGGAAAACTCGTCACAGCACCGGATCTTTCGGGCCCAGACTCGCCCTAGTCTTTGCCAGAGTCATATGAGTAACAGCATAAGAAAAGTAACTGTGGAACCATCGATGTGGGGAACATGGATGTAGGCCTGTTATAAGACATGTTAGGTTCAAACAATACATCCATCCATCAACATCCATTTGTGGGGAACAAACAAACACCTGTAACAGACGGATGAGCAGGAAGGGGAGGGGGGGAAAAAAACCGAGCAGAGAAGCGTTACACTGTTTATACACTGCCCCCATGCGGTGATTGCGCAGTGTTGGCGCCATTTTGGATTTGCGTAAATACGGACGACAACAAACATGATGGTCTCAGTGAATCTATGAGGTGCCGAATGTAAAGATTCGGTTACAGTTTTTTAAGTTGATATATTTTGACTATCTAGCTCACTTTCCTCGCATTTAGCTAATTTTCCTCTCATTTGAAACAGAAATTCATGTAAAATATCATGTTATACTTAATTGTTAAGGATGTGCATGAATCTTAAGTCTAAATATTTAATCTAAATCGGGGGGTTTAATCTAAATATTTATTATTATTATTATTATATTATTCTGGCCTGTGCAGCAACAGATAAACATGATTCGATATTATTATAGAACAGAGCTATATTGAATTGTGTATTTGTGGTGTTGGTTAGTTGGTTTCTATAGATACCTGCTCATCTGCACCTGCTCTCCCTCTCCCACAACCTCCGCTGCCTCACTCTGGCCCCCGAGCCCGGCCTATGTGATACGAGGTTAAATCAGAGCTAGCAATGCTCGCTTCCTGGACGCTCTAACATGCAAAACAACGTAATATGTGTGACTGATAGTAAAAGAAAAAACGTCAGTGTAACTAGTTAGGTGCTACACTTTTTTCATAGACATGCCACTGGAAATTTAAGGTAAAGGCTCAAAAGAAACGTTAGCTGTACTAGTAGTATAGCTAACTTAGCATTAGCAGTGTAGCTAACTTTGTTGACGCTTCTAGCTTTGCCTGATATACAAACTTACCGCAGGTGGCTACTAGCTAGCTTGTAATTGTATTTCCAACAAAAAATCACCAAACATATTAGCTTGACAGCATTGAGTAACAGCCAACAGTCATGTTGGTTGTTTACATTCATTATGGTAATCTTATATGTTTTATTATTTGTGAATGAGCCCTTCTGTATTAGGATATCACATCAACTATCACTGCTATGTTCCGCCCCGTTCTCTCTCTCCCTCGTCCACTCATGACAAATCTATTAGGAGAAATATGCTATTGGATCAGTCAAGGTAACTTTCAATGTGACAAACATTAGCTTTGCCATGTGTGTCAATGCGCACAACTACAATGTTTACAGTCCGACACACCAGGAAAGATGGACAGAGAGGTGCAGCACGTTTCCTTCATCTTTTCTTTTCCCCACAGGAATAGATGCAAACGACTGGCAGTTAACATTTGGAGAAATATGCTATTTTTCAGTGGGACAAGCATCAGTATTAGGCCAGTATATTGTTGCTCTACAAGTGACACATTTTTAAGCTTTCATGTTTGTCAGATGGAGGAGCGTTTTGTAAATATGCACTTAAAAAAAAAAGGAGTTTGTAATTTGTGTAATCGCATTTCCACACAGATCATAGTGAAACATTTAAGATGAGTTGAAATGATTCTGTTTATTACATTAATTTTTTTTTTTTAACTTTTTTTAACGTTAACTTTGATAAATAAGCAAATAATGTGACTATTACTACACTGCTCAAAAAAATGAAGGGAACACTTAATCATCACAGCATAACACCAAATCAGTTAAACTTCAGGGATATCAATCTGTCCATTTAGGAAGCACAAGTGATTGTGAATCAATTTCACCTGCTTTGATGCAAATTAAAGTGACAACAGGTGCAATCGAGAGGCAAAAGCAAGACAACTCCCAAAAAGGGAATGGTTTTGCATGTGATGGCCACAGACAACTGCTCTCTCCTTAACATTCCTGAGTTATTCTTCTCTAGTTTTGTGTTTTACCAGTGTCCTTGTCACTACTGGCTGCACGAGGCAGTACCTGCAGTCCAATCAGGTTGCACAAGTAGTCCAGCTCCTCCAGGATGGCACATCTGTATGTTTGGTCGCAAGGTTTGTGGTGTCTCCCAGTACAGTCTCAAGAGCATGGAGGAGATACCAGGAGACAGGCTGTTACATGAGGAGAGCTGGACAGGGCCGTAGAAGGGCATCAACTCAGCAGTAGGACCGGTACCTGCCAAAGAATCCAAACCTTGAACTGGGTTGTGCTGATAAGGTTGAGCACCCGCTAAATCACTGTGTCAACTAACATGACAAGGATTTGAGACCCTGTCTTTACCATGATCCCATCCATAATGTTTAAACCTGAGAACATGGTTGGGATTACGTGTGCAGCAATCCAACCCAATTAATTGTTCTCTGTCTCCTCCGGGACAGCAGGGGGCAATCGGCTGTGGTTTAGGAGACGGAAGTTAAGAGCATTCAGTAAGCTTGGGTTACAGCAGCTCTTACAACCTGCGCCAAAACAGTTCATGTGTCAAGTGAGCAGCAAGTGGCAGTCAATCTAACTTCTGGTTTATCCATTTTCTACAAAAATAAAGGCACAGCCTGAAATATATATTTAAAAAGAATACAAAGAAATAACTCAATACTTTTGGAAAAACAGCAACGAAAAAAATCTCTTTCAGTTGACATGGTAATGTAATAACATAATATGATTATTTATGAGTTTTGAGATGCTAACTAAATAACCACCACTGTAAAACCATTAAAACACTGAAAATTTTAAGACGTCATAAATGTTCTAGTATGTTTTTTAGTTGATGGCTTCGAATCAAAACATTTTCTACACCGTTCTCCTTAGTTTAAGTAGCTGTAAATGAGATTTAAACATGAAACTTTAACGTTAAAATATTTTTAAACAAGTTGCAACTTTTATTTTGAAAAGTCACGTACCGGAATGCACCAAGTAGCTGCTGCTAGCTTAAATCTGCACACCACCGAGTGTCACATTTAGCCACAAATTTGACCTGAACTCTATCACTTTGGAGAATTTACATGTACATTTTTGGTGTAGTGAAAGACATTAAGCCTTTTATTCGACCAGTTCCGTCTAAAAATATCGCGCGGAAACTAGAGTTTTTGTTGAAAGTTGACGATGGTGTAACGAATATTTGTGTCGACCGGACACAAGATGTTTCAAGGTGGGAAACGGTTTTTAGTGAAGAAACTTTAGCTGTTTTCCTGATTAATACGTTATATGAAAATGACAGATATTTTTTGTTTTATCAGAGTTGTGTTGATAATCTATGTGCGTTTGCCTTTTTAAAAAGGCCTCAAAATGATTCACTTTGGAGAATTTACATGTACATTTTTGGTGTAGTGAAAGACATTAAGCCTTTTATTCGACCAGTTCCGTCTAAAAATATCGCGCGGAAACTAGAGTTTTTGTTGAAAGTTGACGATGGTGTAACGAATATTTGTGTCGACCGGACACAAGATGTTTCAAGGTGGGAAACGGTTTTTAGTGAAGAAACTTTAGCTGTTTTCCTGATTAATACGTTATATGAAAATGACAGATATTTTTTGTTTTATCAGAGTTGTGTTGATAATCTATGTGCGTTTGCCTTTTTAAAAAGGCCTCAAAATGATTTTTTTTTCTTAATCGTTTGTTATAATTATTAATTAACCTAGCAAGGAGTTTATTTTTTCAGTTTATCAATTGATCATTTGGTTATAAATTGTCAACAATTGCCTGTATGCAGTATGTAATGAAAAGTCAGCAAATATTAAATTATTTGCTTATTAGCTGCAAAAATGAAACGTTTAATAGCATACTCTTATTTATTAATGGGCAAACTATTAGTCAATCTATCAGTTGATTAAGGGCTGCAGCTAATGAGTATTTTCATTATTGATCAATGTCTCTAAGTATTTTTTAAATTAATCAATGAATGATTTTATTTACAAAACAGCAGAATATAATTTTTAAAATGCCCCAAAACATTTGGTTGACCCAAAAACATTAAGTTTACTATAATGTAAGGCTGCAACTAACAATTATTTTCATTATCGATGATCATTTCTTCGTTTAATTTATTAATTAGTCGTCCAGCCAACAGTCCAAAACCCAAAAATGTTAAGTTTGTAATTATATAAAATAGAGAAGAAGCATTTTGCTTGAAAAATTAAACCATTCTCTTGTCTCTCTCTGTGTCTCTCACCTCTTCACTTACAGATGCCGTCTTTTGACTTCCTGGATAAGGTGGAACTTTTTGTGCGGACTGGAGTGCATTCTCTAGATGCATCAAAAAGTTCAAAGAACCAAACCAGAGCAGCCAGCAAGCACTTTACCTACAAAGGTACTTTGGAGCTAAAATGGCAGGTCACACAGAGAAGCTTCTTACACAGAGGAAAACATGTTTTCTCTCAGTGCAGAGGAGTTTCCAGTTGCTGATGATTTTTTTTATATGTATTTTTTTCATGAACAAACATCTGTTCATCTGCATTATACCGGGGCAGAGGCATGAACTGAAAACAGGAACAAAGAGAACCAGAATGATCTGCATGGTTGATAGCACCAGACATAAGTGAGAAAAATATGTTATTTGTCATTTAGGTAAACAGACTTTTCACATGTAAATTTCATAAAGTTTTGCTGTTTGTCCTCATATGTTCATTCAGATTTTGTGGTCAATCTACCATCTCCTGTAATCTTTTCTAATTTACTGCAATAAATTTTTATTGTCGCAAAATTTGTTACAGTAAGTATCTTTAAACTCTCTGGGCTGTCGACATAGTAATCAGAACCATCCCTGACTGAAGAAAGAAGTGTCTGCTACTCCATTTGTATTTCAAGAGACATGAACTTTACGTAAAGGTAGTTAGTTTCACTGTATTGACAGTAGTTCCTCCCTCTGTCCATCAGATGGCTGTCTGTGGCGAACTTATCGAGGCCGCCTCCTCAGGGTTGTCAGGAGCGACAAGGAAGTGCGGGAGATCCTGACCCGATACCATGACAACAACAACCACGCCGGCCGGGTTCGGGCGGTAAAGGAGATAATGGTGACTTCAGATCATATGTCATCAACAGAACACTTAGGATGTGTGATCAATAGAAAATTGATAGATTTGTTCACCATTATAAAAACCTGCTGCAGCAGTGCTGGTGGTGTTAGACACAGATCTTCCTCCTCTGTTTCTCCAGTTGATGTATTACTGGGTTGGAGTGACGGAGGCGGTGAAGAACTGGATCAAAGCTTGCTCTGTTTGTCAGAGTCGAAGTCCCAGCGAACCACCTGGTCCACCTGTCCAGTTCTGCCTGGCCTATGGCTGCGACACCTCCAGCTACAGTTACCCTGAGCTCGGCTTCCACAGGTCAGACACCACATTTACAAAGTTGGTTGATGAGTCAAAAAGGTCAAAAACTCATAGGTCTTGGATCTTTTCCACTCTGACAGTCAGCTTTAAACCGTCAGACGACAACTATTTATGTCAATAGTAGATAAAAGCAAGTGTACAAAAACAGTGTGGATCACCAGGTTACAGAGGAAGGTACAGCTGAGTATTGTCTGCATAACAATGATAGGAACTGAAGTGTTTTTAATGAGAATTAAATGGGACCTTGTGGTTTTCTGCAGGCGGACTTTCCTTTGGTTCAGCTTTGTCTGTAAGTTCGGGTCAGATTCAAAAACAAAACTCATCTTCCTCTTTCCTGCAGGTTCCCAAAGGAGACCGAGCAGCGGCGGAGGTGGCTGGCGGTGGCTCAGAGGGACGAAGGCTCGCTGCGCTCCAATTCCTGCCTCTGCTCCCGCCACTTTGAGTCGTCCTGCTTTACGCTGAGTGATGATGGTCAGCTGACTCTGTCACCGGACGCCGTACCAAGCATTATTCCTGTGACAGCACGAGAAGATGAGGTGACACAGTACGCAGCACACTTACAGTTCAAATCAACATGATGCTCACTGCACTGATTACAGTATTCACATATAAATATTTGATATGCACATTCACTTTTTATATCAGGGGTGAAGGTCTGGGAGGATCAGCAATATGATTATGCAACTAACAAGCAGCAAAAAATATGAACAGGTGACAGAAAAACATTTGACCAAACACACAGGACACTGAAGCCGTCCTTCCAAAATGAAGAGTTTAAAAAGAGGACACTGATTTCTGCAGTAATGGCAGGAACATCACATTTTTACTCCTTTATAGACAAAAAAATATGAGGTCAAAATAGATATTTTAAAATTAAAAAAAGTAAAATCAAGTCAAGTAATTTGAAAGGAAGAAACTGCAACTTTCAGGGAATGAAATAAGAACATGCAGCGCACAAATGAGCAGTGTCAGGTATTGATTTGTAAAGTGAGTGAATGATTTATCACAAATAATCCCACCGACATACACTTGGTATCTTTTAAAAAGAGACTCACCACTGTCTATGAAGTATTTATTATTTGTCTTTGCTGAGATATTTCCAGCCTTTCTTTTTGTACGGAAGTAAAAGAAGAGTTGTGTTCATGTGATCAGGATTTCTCAAAACTCAATCTGCTTGTACAGATCTGTGCCTGCACGCTCTCTGTGGCTGACTTTGCGCTCACTTGGTTCTATTCTCATTGTTCTTATATGTTCATTAACTCTATTTTGTGTGCAACATTAGAATGACCTATAGTTTCCATAATGCATCCACAGCAGATAAGGCGGTTTAAGCATTTTTAAGCCTGAGTGATCAGGTGCTTTTTCTTATCAGGACCTGTAGAGTTTGCACCTGAGTTAGTTGGTGTGATCTGATCGGCTGATCCTCCTCGGTTTTCAGGTTCCTGTCCCTTCAGATGAGGACTTACTTCACTCTAACTGCCTGGAAGACCTCATCTGTACAGCTGCTACTGCAGAAACCACAGCCCGCTCTGAACCGGCTTTTGATCACTCTGAGATACCTGTGCAGCTGCAGGAACACCAGTACTGCCTCTCGGCTCCGGATTCAGACTCCGGGGTGGTCCAGGCAGTGAGGGAGGACAAGAGGAGGAAGACCATCATCGAGCCAAGCTTCACGGCCTACAACCAGATCGCCAGGTAGACACGTGACCGGCTGATCACTTTATCCATGTAACATTTTTCTATTTAATTCAACATGTGTTGACATTTTTATTACCTTGCGTCCTGCAGGTATCTGAGCCACAGGGTTTTACCGATGCAAAGCAAGAAAAGCAGAGGTGCTCTAAAGAGGATGGCCAAGCGCTTTGGTTTGATAGGTGAATTAAGCCTCAATGAACCAGATTATAGGATCTAATTAAGATTAAATTTCTTTTAGAAATAATTTAGAAAAGATTGTGTTGTGTTTCAGATGGAGTGCTGGTGTACACACGAGTCTCTCCACCTCTCAGAGTGCCGCGCAGCAGAGAGGAGGTAATTACAGTGTGTTATTGTTACAGCCTCCCTACACAAACAGGTTCGAATGGAGCATACGAAGGACAAGTTGCCAAGAAAGGAGAAAGAACTTTATTTGAAACATACTAAAAAAACGATACGCCAAAAATATTACAGAAACAAACAAAAAAAGAACAAAAGATGGAGATGCTGCTGAATGTGCCGTTGCACCCAGGTACTCCACCTTAACTGCCTAAAGAAAACTAAGCTAGACTGAACCAAAACAAAAACTGATACCCGAGGCCTGAAGTACGAAGCAGGATCTGAGGTTGTCGAGGCAACTTCAGGTGTTACTCTGGGTATTTCAGTCCGACGACGGTGGTTCACTTATTATCATTTCTCATATCATAAGCACTTTATTCATGGTTCTGACGATATTGCTTATAATTAAAAACTCTGCCTCTTTCACATGAACGCGCCCGCAGACAGAGAGGTAAACCCAGGGTTAACTGAGACAGCTTCGTAGTACAGGTTATCCAGGGCGGTCAATGGTAGCTTCAGTTAACCCAGATAACGAAAAGTTGTCCTGGGTATGTAAAACTTGATTCATAGTACAGGCCTCAGGACAACTGGTGTTCTCCAACCCAAAACTGAAATAATAAATCAAAACAACAAAAACCCAGCACCCTGGAACACGCTGGGACACAAAAGGCAAATCTGGGGCAAAGAGTCCACCCCGAGCAGTGCGCTGGCTGAGTGGTGAGAGAGTGTGCAGTCCCTGCTCGTTCGTTCCCAGCTCACTAATTGACTTCGGGGGCTCCACTCCTACAGGAGAAACAGAGAGAGCACCAGAGGGAGAGAGAGTGGGAGAGCGAAGGAGAACAAAACAAAACAACCCCATGAGCAGTGTGCAATAGTGCACATCCTGGGCCGCACGTAACAATGATGAGGTTGAAGTGAAACTCATACCAGCCTCGTGCAGCTTAAAGTTTGTTGTCACTGGTCTGAAAAACAACAGCTCGAATAAACTCATGGCGTCAGTAGCAAATTAACATAATAAGTGTCTTGGTTAAAAAACAGAATCTTTTTTTGTGCATTTTCTTAAACGTTTCATAAAACATTTCTGTCCAGCTTTCGTCTGTGTCACCGCGGGAAAAATAAAATCAGTATCTGCAGTTTTCTTATCATCCAAGACGCAGCTCATTTCTAGCAAAGACTGGGATAAATGAAAAAAGTGCAGCACCATGACAGGAAGTCTCTGAATGGTGAGTTATAATGTCAGCACATTGTTGTTGTAAAATCGACCATCACATCAATTTAGTCACCCACAGCTTGACTGTAAAATATCAGAAAAACAGCATTTCTCACTCATTAAAATGGTGTCGTCTTCGTCCACTCCCACATAGCTCCCAAACATTTCAACTTAAGCTCCATTTTTACCACGACCACAGATACATGATACACAATTCTTTCTTTGTCAGAAAATTTTCTAGATCTCTGTTTTTGATGGAGTAAATTGATTATAGACATAATTTACAAATATGCAACGTGAGATAATGAGGGCCAGACTTTTACATAGGAAGCCTCCTCTAAACAGACCAGGAAGTAATGCTGCAGTCACCTTTAGGCATGTACTTTGCCTTAATGATGCATATTCACATGATAATTTTTCAAATTTAATGAGCACAAAGCGGTTAACACATAGTAAACAGGGACCCCAGTGTTTGTCAAATGACTGTTGTGCTTCTTACAGGTAAGAATGAATAGATGTATGTGTGAGTGTGAAGCTGGACAGCACTAATAAAAACACGCAGTGCAGGAAAATCCTTTGGGGAAAAAATGATCTGCATATCGTTATCTTGCCTTTTGATCCCAGGTGAACTCGATCCTGCAGCAGTTCCATGATAACCAGGGTCACTACGGCCAGGGAATCTGCCAGCGAGAGATCACAAAGCATTTCTACTGGAGCACCATGACCCGGGACCTGGCCCGCTGGATCTCCAGCTGCCACACCTGCCTCAACAGAACCAAGAGGAAGTGGCTCCGCTGCAGCGTCTACAACTGCAACAACTGCTGCGGGCCGGTGGAGCGTGGCCTGGGCCTCACCTTCCACAAGTACGAGTCCATTTTCAACACTCTCCTGGTTATTCTGCAAGATGCTACAGCTAACAAGCTAGCTAGCTAACAATGAATCAAACAGATCAATTACATTTGATTAAATGAACAGTCAGACTGAAATTATAATCCTTTAGACTTCTGTATCAAAAAATCTAAATCTTTCAGAAGCAGTATGTTTGTGTGAATATTTATCTGTAGTGATAGTATACACATAGTAAGCAGTACACATTACACATTAGTTGTAGTAATTAGCTCTACCTTCACAGTTACATCCACAAACCAGACACAGGAAATAATTAAAAATGAATCTACATGTAAAACAATAAACAATCGTAACTTACAATGAAGACAAAAACGAGATTGTCACAAATGCACAAATAACAAGCAGAAAATTAAAACAAGAAAAACCACAATAACAATAATTTATCATTCACTCACCTAACCTTTTGGGAAAAAAAACTGGAAGGTGCTGTAAGCTAAATGCTAACATCAGCATGCTAACATGCTCACATCGCACCAAATTCACCAAAACTGAAGTTTTCAGGAAGTTTCTTCATTTAGTTAAGACAGATAAGTGTCATTATAATCTCTAGTAGTGCTGCTACATGGTGCATGACTGAATAACAATCTGTGATACTTAATAATTCTATCCGTACCTTCAGGTTTCCTCTTGACAACGCGGCCCTGTTGGCTCGGTGGTTGAAGGCTGTTGGCCGACCTTACTGGCATCCTCGGCTCCGCTCATCCATTTGTTCCACCCATTTCACTGAGGAGTGCTTCGACCGCAGCGGAGAGAAAGTCTCCCTCCATCCAGACGCTGTGCCCACACTGTTGGTCCACAGCGACTCGGCGGTAAGGCACAAGAGTTAGTTGCTGTAATAAAAACAAACTGTGCTGTTCAGTAGCAGAAGCTTGAGTTCTGTTTTTCCTCCACAGATATTTGTCAAACTGATGCAGAGAGTTGTATGTACCTCTAATCTCTTCTTCATGTGTGAGCAGGCCTATTTTGCAAAGTACAACGCTGTGGAGCTCTACCTCCGAAAACGCACTTACCCTCATGGCCTGAGCTACGTCGAGAAAAACACCTTCAGGAGGTTCTGCAAGAAGTTCGCCATCAAAGGTTTGTACAAACCAGGATCCCTCAGCATAGATCAGGTCAGGTGGTTCCTCCAGAAGAGACGAGGCTCTCAGCCTCTCTTCTGATTGGCTGACTGTTTTCTGAGTGATAATAAAAATATAGCAGATTTCAGGTAAAACACTCAGAGGAACCAAATCATGCAAAGTTGGATGGTGGGTCCAGGTGGGCGGGGCTTGGGGCATGGCTGAGAGCAGTGACTCCATTGTTGTGACATCACAGAGTTAGTTATGTTAAGAGTGATGTGAACTCTGTTCATTGTTTTCATTGCCTGGTTTCCCAGATGATGAGCTCCACATAGTGAAGGGAGATCAGATGCGTTTGGTTCTGAGGAGCCGACAGCAGGTTGAAGTCGCCCTCATGGACTATCACAATGAGCTCAACCACCTGGACGTCAACAAATGTCTCCGACTGCTCAATGACAGGTGAGAGGGGATCATCTCTTAAATCGTGTTTTTCAAGACTAATCGTTTATGATCCTGCAGACACAGAAGAGAGAACTTCCTCGAACACTGATAGAGGCAAACACATCCTCACTTCAGTTTTTACTGCTTTAGCTTAAAGTGATGCTGGGATTACACTTAACACTGCAGGTGTAAACGTGTAACATCATGCTGCAGGTACTTCTGGAAAACCATGAGACCTGACGTGGTGCAGTGGATCGACAGCTGCTCCCAGTGCAACAGGAAGAAGAGGAAGAAACCAGCAAACCAGACGGAAGCAGGAGGATCAGAGTCGCTGCTGCAGGCGCTGCGATCACCACAGATACATGACGGGTTAGACAGGTATGTGTGTTTCTGTCACAGACACAATTTGAAAACACTGGTTTTTAACACGCATGTTTATTATTAACACTTTGTCTGCCTGAGTACAAATGTTGTTTCACTACAATTTCTCTCAGGACAGTGTAAACAGGCTCTTTGTTGTAGTATGACATGGTTATGGTTAAAGTTAAGGTTCAGGTAGGTCGGCCCTATCTAACCAATCATAAGTCAACTCAGACAGGTGTCACTTACTGTATATCTGATGTTTTTGATGATTTGATGATTCTGGAGATAAGTGATGGAAATACAAAGTGCTGCAGCTAACGATTATTTTCATTTTCAGTTACTGATTAATCTGGTGTTTTATTTTCTTGACTAATCAATTTATTGTTTAGTTTGTGTTAAATGATTTTTAAAAATAGTGAAAAAATGGGATTCACAGTTTCTCAGAGGACACAGTTAGTGGTCTTATGTGCGACTAAAATGTTCAATTATTCAATTTACTGTTAAATGCAACCAAGAAAAAACAGTAGATTGTCACATTTGTTGATCTGGAACCAAGAGAATATTTGGCATCTTTGATTTGGAAAATGAAATAGTTAAAAGATTGATTTTATGTCAATTAACTTAATCAATAAGTCGACCAATCGTTTCAGCTCTACAGAGCTTTCAGTCCTGTAGAAACGCTGTGTTTTGATCATGAAGCAAAAATGAGAAGTTGTCTTCTTATAGTTATTGGAGCAGTAATAGTATTAATGCGACTATTCACACTCAGAAAATAGTATGTAGTAAACATAGAGATAGTTTGTGTTCACGTGGTCCTTAATGTGTGTGTGCTCTTATTCTCTCTCTCTGTTGGTTGACAGTGGGAAGGATGATGATGTTGACGAGGATGATGATGATGATGATGGTGGTGCTGGGAGTGTTGGGGAGCCAGTAACGGGTTCAGAGGACAGAGCGGTAGGTTTCTCAGCTTCATCCAGCAGAACGACTCTATCTCAGATGGAAAAGCACTTGTTTTAATCATTGTTTTGGATCATTGTTTTGGTCCTCAACCAGAGGAACGGACTCAACCTGGAGACCAGGAGGAAGCAAGTGACTGTCAGAGCAGCACCAGAACAAGTCACTACGTCTTAGTCCAGGGTGAAAACAGACCCCTCAGAGGGCCACATCCTCCACATGACCTCCCCACAAGGTCCCAACTTCCACAACCCACAAGCAAACAAGTTCAGCCTCCAAATCCAAACAGGGGACTAAAGACCCCGTCCAGACCTCAACCCAGAGACCGTGGCAGCGTCCAGCGCCCGGTGAAGAGGAGCCGAGACCTGGAGGCAGGCTCTTCGGCTAAAAGGAGCTCCAGCTGTGGCCTGGAGCCCGTCGTGGCCCCGAGCACCAAACCCTGGCCCGTCTTCACCATCGCCGGCTCTGCGCGGGTACACGCAGCCAAACCCCCTCCTGAGGTGGACAGGTAGGAGCTGCTTTTTATTACTTACTATTATTACTTGCAGTAGTGTTACTACCTATATACTGACAACTGTGTATCAGCAGCCCAGCCGTCTTTCGGAGGCCCAGGAGGCTCCAGGCTCGGACCATCATCCAGCAGTGCAGTCGGGCCAAGGTTAAGATCAAACCAGCCCTGGACGGGGCTGACGCTCAGTGGGCTGAGGTGGGTGTGTTCTAGGGATGGCTGCTGTTCGGTCCATCCATCACTTTCACATTTTGACATGAAAATACGAGCTGTAGTCAGAGGTGCTGCACGGGAGGACTGGACGGATGGGTTTTTTATTTTAACTGATGGATCATCAAAAAGTAGTTTCATCTTCTAAATCTGCCTGAAACTATAAATTGTTTTTATTTTTCTGTCTGTGTACAGATGGAAAAAAGAACAAAAACTAACACTTTTGTCTTTGTTCATCTTAACACAAACAAACAGATGATTTTGATGATCAGAATAATTTGCTGTGATCGTGTAAAAACATACACATAATATTTAAATCTGAGTGACTCCGTGTGAACTGGGTCTTCACTGTGACTCTGTTTCCTCAGATCCAGGAGGGAATGGTTGTGTACGTGTGCTTTTTCCACGGAGCCACTGAAGACGTCACTCATGAAATGGGTAAGATGTGTTATGTTAGTTCATAATCTGACAGCCACATAAATTTAGTCATTCAATTAAAACTCTGTCTTTATCAAGTTGTGTTTGTCTTTTCCCTTGATCCTCTCAACAGCCAACAGCCTGATGACCACTAAACTTTTCCGAAAAGCCACCGGGTGCTCAGTGTCCGTTCTCGACCTTCCCGGGAACGTTTTATTTATCCCCCAGGACTCTCTGCTCGGAGAGCCGGTGCCTAAGAGGAGGGTGCAGTATAAAGGCGGGTGTGAGCCATGGTGGGGCGCTCAGCTCCTCTCAAACCTGGTGTTCACCTGCAGAGAGCTCGTGGCGGGCTCCGTGAAGTGTGCGAAGGCGGACGTGAAGGTGGAGCAGGGAGTCTACGGCCAGAAACAAGAGATCGTCCTGAACTGTGTGGAGCCGATGACGCTCCTGCTGGAGTTCTGAGGTTCACCTGATCACCAGGGTGGGATGTGGGACGTCCACTGAATCTGAATCTGCTGTAAGTGAGTCCAGTCTTGTCATGAGAACACTTAACCTGTTTTCACTACAATTTCTACAACTGCTTGTCAAGCCTTTTTCCGTCAGAAGGTTCTCGAGCTAATAGGTTTTATAGATCTGCAGATAGATCAGTTAATTAAAGGGAAACTAGTCGATTGTAACTTTTTTTTAACAAAAGAAATCCAGGAACTAAAGGAACCAGAGGAACTAAACATCTGTAACTATGTTTACATGCAGGCTGTTTAAAAATGTCTCCACACAAAAAAAACCATGATATTAAATAACTATTTTTTGTAAAATAAAATGTGTACATTTTATTTATTAGGTTATTCATGACCTCAGCAGTTTTCTCGTTTAAGAAACTTGTTTGACAGAGAGACAACCACAAGCACCAAAACTTGATCAGAGTCACTTTTAATGAATTCATCAGTAGAATGAAATTAGTTACTCAACTAACAATCAACCATTCAGAGCAGCGTCGACATTTCTCTGTTCATACGGAATTTATCATGTCTATTAATTTTACATCTACATTAAAATAAAACCAGTCGATAAACTGGAAAAATACTAAAACACAGTACAAGGAATCAGAGACAAAGAACAAAGGAACAGAAAATGACCAAATAAAAAAAAAAAGACCAAATTAAAGAATAAATTTTTCTCTCTTTAATTCATAATCATCGCATGTGTAAATAATACGTAACATTTTCCACTTTCAGCATACATATCCTTGTGATCTTTAGGCTTTAAAAAAAACGGAATAATTACAAAATACACAAGTACTATAAAAAATAAGTTCTCTTTCAAGTCTTCTTGCAAAGCTCAGTTTTGGTTTTGCATGGCTGCTACAATTTCAGTCTTTTTTTTGTGACTACAGTCGCACTGAAGCAGATGCTCCATAAATTATAAAGGCAAAATTTCCATATAAAAAATGCAGGAACAAAAAAAGCAAAAACAAACAGTATCTTTCAAGTTTGAGTCAGTTTCTTAAGAAACAAACGGTGGTGCTTTCTCCCACAAATCAGTCTGTGTGACAGTTAAGTAAATTACAAAAGAAATAAAAAGCTCACAACTCAAATGCACAATCGGCCTGAAAACAGCATTGTCATGGCAGCGTAGAAAAAAACACCCAAGCTGCCAAAAAGTGGGCTAACTTATAGTATAATTAACTGTTACCAGTTTGAAGCAAAAGATGACTCACTGTGGATTAAAACCAGAATATTAATCAGTCACTTCATTTTAACCCTGTACCGTTCACCTTGTCCCGGCTTTTCTTTCCTATTTCAAGGGTTTGACAAAAAACAAAAACATCTCGGAGAATTCGGAGACCTTATCTCATGATTTTGACTAACTCTCATAATTACGACTAATAGAAAAGGAACTTGCCTGAGAATCACCAGGTTTTTAGGTTTTCTTCATTCATTCAGTGATAACCGTCAGAACATCCAATGGTGCATAGCAGAGAGGAAATGTTAACAGTTGAATCTGTGTTTAATTTTTGAAAATGTAAACAAATATAGGCTTAAAAAAAATAAAAAAACATAGCTCAAGTTATAGCTAACAGTTTGACCCACTGAATCCATGGCAACATTACACTTCCTGTATCTTGTAAAGCTTTACACTTCATTATATTGATAATTAAGCTCATATTCACTATACAGATACAAAAGAGACCTTTCTCAGATCTCAGTTGGGAAAGAGTGACTGAAAACGTTTTGTTCCAGCTTCTCAAAACTTTTCTTCACGTTTAATTGTAGTAAGATTAATACTTTTGAATTTTGCGAATGCCTCGGTCTAACAATAAATTTCTTCTGTGTACTTCAAGTACTGCTGGAGTTTTGACCTCTTTTACAAAAGCAGCAATCTGGAATATTTGTGATGAGCATTTTCAGAGTTTTCTGACGTGTTACAGACCAAACAATTGTTCAATTAATCAAGCAAATATTCAGTAAATTCATTACAAGTGAAAATAATTGTTAGTTGTGCCCCTGTACAGACTTGTACTGTTTCTGTGGACATGGAACCAAGAGTGACTTTTATTTTGTAATAAGCCACAGGGGAACAGAGGGGTTTATAGTTCATAAATTATTCAAATTTGAGCTGCACTACCAATTATTCTAAATTATTTTATTATTGATTGATCTGCAAGTTAATCAGTTCATCATTTGGTCAGTAAAGCATTAGAAAATGATGAAAAACGCCCATCACGTCATCCTGGAGTCTAAAGAGAAATCCTCAAGTGTCTTATTTTGTCCAACACACAGTCAAAATAAGTAATATAACATACGCTCACATTTGAACCAGCAAATGTTTTGTGTGTTTTTCTTGAAAAATCGATTGTTGAAACAGTTGCCAATTAATTAATCGATCAACTAATTGTTGCAACTCTAATTTAAATTAATTATAAAATAATAAAATTTTACAAATAAAGTTGATATTTGGAGCTGAAATCCCCATGTTTAAATTTAGTTGAAAAACATACAAATTGTGAGATATTCTTAATTCATCAACGTCCATGTTAATTTGTTATGAAATACATACAAAAGTTTATGAAAACAAAATTCATATATTTCCTCAAAGCTGTTTAAACAATTGAAATTATTTTGCAGCTCAAAGTAAACTAGGTAGTTTGTTCATAAATAAAATGCGTGATAAGTACATTCTTTGACTTTATAAATAAAAAAAAAATGACTATTTAATTGATTCCTCCAAAAGTTTTAATATTCAAAGTGCATTAATTAATTTTTTGGGGGAACAGTTGGCTGATAATTCTCTGTGTGTTAAGCACAATGAGCGACACTTTGACATGACATCTATTTGTTTATTTTGATCCTTGAGCTCGAGGCTCCTCAGAGTCCAGCGCTGTCATTTGGTTCAACAGGCTAAACTGTTCCTGTATGAACAGGAAGGTTATATAAATACTGATCTTCTTGAAATAAATACTGATACATATCGAGCTGCGTCGATCTCCTCACAACTGACTGACGTCTGTCTGTTTTTTATTGAAAAACACTGTAAATTCTCAACAGTGGCCTTTCTTTTACTCGGTGGCAATGGACCATTATTTAGGCTTCAATCAGTCAACACTTCCTGCACAGGCTTCACATTAAAGGCCTATCAATAATCAATAAGGGAAGGACTACAATAGTTTTTGCTGAATTCACCATGTGAGCTGTTGCAGCACACTACAGTTAATTCCACGCCTCTATTAGCTACAGGTAGTAGTTGGCATTCGATACCATTTTATAGAATCTGAGTCCGCTATCAGATCCACTTATTGAATCTGAATTCTTTCGAATCATTATCAGATCTCATTAAGTTCAGTTTTTATCTTTTGCAAGTAGCTTAAAAATAAATTAAATTAAGTTAAAAATAAATACAAGTCAGAGATTCAGTTTAGATCTGTGATCAGCTTTTGTCGGCTGAGAAGCCAGAAAACCGTTTTTTCTGGCAGCTACTAAATAAACCAATATCAACATTAATGACGCTAACCCAGTTAATGTTGACAACATGCAGCTCCAACCTGAAAAATGATCTGAGCAGGAGGTCTGAAATATTGATTATTGATTGATATTGTCTGTTGTGACACAATGAAATACCAGCTGGACCTCTGGATCCATTACTCTGACCTTAATGAGCTCCAGATCTGATCTATGTAAGAAGCTGAACTGAGAAACTTTCCTGTATTTAACTAAGAGCATCTCGACTCTGTTGAGCTACAAAAAAAAACATTTGACTGGCTGTCGTAGAGAGACGTTACAGAGTGATGTGTCTTTTCACTCACAAACAATCTTTGGCAGAGTCCAGTCAGCGGCCTGGAGAGGGCACATTAACCAACAGACTCAAGTTTCCTGCATGTTTTCAGTGCTGGTCTTTGCTAGTTACAAATAACCAGGAGAGAATAAAAAACAAAAAGTTCAATAAGAGATTTTTTAGCGTCAGAGCTTAACGAATGTGGGTATTTTGCTGACTGGGAACGGGATCCAAAACAGACCCAACCCAAGCTACTGGCCTCTATTTGTCGGTGCTGGCCACACCCCTGGCTGTTCTTTGACTATTTTATTTCAGGTTCAGGTGAGAATTTATGCTGTGAGTTCACAGTCAGAGCTGAGCCCTCAGTCTGTTCACTGTGTCTCCTTTCTGATAAAACTTCAGTGCATTTCTGGAATCCAAGAAATTTCAAGCCAAATGATTGGCGATCATCATCCAATAATTATCATATTCAGGCACTTTCATGAGATTTATAATTTTAACGTCCAAGGACCTTCAGTGTGCCTCACTTATGGCTGCCTGTTAACGCCTTTTACTTCATAAGAAAACAGGCATCATCTGTTGCCGTGTGTTTGATTTACTCCAACCTGGGTGTCGGCGTTCCCAACTCTGTCGTCTGTCGCCAGGAGGACAAAAACGACTTTTCCGGTTCTCATTTCCTCCCGGTCTTCAGTCCCCCTCCCACACACAGTCACATTCTCGTAGAGGGTTTCTCTGGCGCATCGTGGTGATGACGGTGATCCTGTTCTCGGACAGCTCTCGGAGCTGGTTGATCAGCTCCTGTACGCAGGGGCTGGGCCAGGGGTGACCATTTAGGTAGTCTCTGAGGATGAACGAGCGCTCCACCAGCAGCTCCAGCTGCACCAGGTGTCGTAGCCGGTGGAGGCTCAGCAGGTCCTTCTCTGGTTCTCTACGGAAAAACCTGGAGATACAAAGAGAAGACATGAAATCAATTTACCTGATAAAGCCACACTTTAGCATCACTGCTTCCAGGGTTTCTGCAGAATTCACCAAATTAAATTTAAGACTGAAGGCCTTTTTAATACTGCTGAGAATGACATTCAAGACTTTTCTTGTGTTCATACTGGTCAAAGAATGTTGGAAAACAAACGGCTTGTTCCGTTATCATGTCACCTCAATGGTTGATGTGATTCCAGTCTCTGTGACACTGAAAGCTGGTTTCCTGTGTGGCTCACCGTATCCTGAGTGTCCTGAGCTGAGGAAACAGCATGGGGATTCGTCTGCAGAGGCTGCCGCTGGAGCGGTTCTGCTCGATGTCCAGGTGCTCGAGAGCCGGGACTTTAGGAGCGATGGAGTCCATGTCTTTCAGAGTTATGGCCACACGCAGCGTCAGTCTGGTCACGCTGGACGGGATGGTGGTTGTATAGGTAGCGAGAGAATTACCACCTGAGAGGACAGAGAACTTGAGAACTTGTCCAGTAACACGACAGAACCCAGCCTGGTTCACAGAGGAAAAATCAACACAACACCTACAACAAAAGCAACAATGTGAATGGCAGCCCGACTGACCGATAATGGTGAGTGTTTCCAGCTGCTGTAGAGGACTGAGCCAGGACCTGAGGCGACACTCGATGCCCTCTCTGATGTACCTGTAGCGGACAGTCAGTGACCTGAGCGAGGTCAGACTTCTCAGGGCGTTCTCTGGCAGGATGGTTTCTGGGTAATCCACCAGCTCCAGGCAGGTCAGCGCCGGGCCGCCGTATCGGCCTGATCCTGAAGGACCCAAGAGGAATTTGTGGGAAATTTTTATTGCTTTTCAGACAGTGAAGAGATACAACAAAAGTCCCTGGCTAGACTGGAAACGAGGATGTTTCAGTTAATAAATTTATTTTTGCGGAAAACTGGTTTGAATCTGATTCATCAATTGACAAAAACTAATAATTAATTAACAATTTAAGCAGAAATTACAATGTGACTGGTTGTTGCTTTTCTTATGTAACAATATCTTTGGGATTTAGGCTGTTGGTCACACGTAATAAGGAATTTGAGCAGCTTGGGCTTCAGGAAATAATCATTAGTTTCAGCAGTTATTATTTGTTTTTTAATCATTCTTAAAACTAGTACAGGTCACCGGCTGACCTGGCTGCTGCTGGTCCGCGGGGCTGAGGTAATCGTCGGGCAGCGGCTCTGGCGGTTCCCCCCTCATCCCCCAAGACAGGTGCTTCAGCCTCTTCAGGTTCAGCAGCAAGGTGTGGAAAACGCTGCAGGGCACCGGCCTCACCGTGTCCAGCCCGTAGCCCTCCCCCTGCTGGTGGAAGAGCAGGTACCGAAGGTTGACCAGGCGCGACACGGTGTTTATGAACTCCATCGTGCAAGGCAGCCTGACGTTGCACACGCTCAGGTGAGTCAGACGCTCCTGCAGCTGCTCGCTCAGAGTCCGCCCCAGCATGGCCTCGTCCCAGGTGGCGTTCCGCACCCCGAGGTCCCTCAGGTCGGGGAACCGCGACAGGTTATCCAGGTATTTCTCCTTGTACAGCCGCCCTCCGTCCACGAACACGATGGCGGTGAGCGACGGGAGAAACTTGACGAGCCGCCGCCACTCTTTGCGCCTAAGGTGTCGCACCGCCACCCGGGTGAGCTTGCGAAGCCGCAGGGTGTCCCAGAAGCCGTAGGTGTACCGGCGGAGGTCGGACAGTACCACCGTGTAGTCCCTCCACAGGGACGGGTGGTCGACGAGCTTCCTGAGGTACCTGCAGCAGGTGCGGAGCGTGTGTTTCTCCTCCGTGCTCAGGTAGCTGAAGACGTACACCCAGACCTCAGGTGGAAGCTGCGGCGGCTCCTCCATCGGTGAACTGACAGTTAACGGCTACAAGCTAAAGCTCAGACCGCCTCCGGAGAGCACGACGCGGGTAAAACAATAGTTTTGTATTGAGACTAAAGCTACAGCAGCTCCCACTGTGTGTAATTAAACACAGGCGGCAGCGTATATTTGCCGCTCCTGTTATATTTACACATACTGCGGGTTCATGTTTACACCGAATTGTGGAACGCCTACGAAGCTGTCGCGCTGTGATGACGTAATTTGTTGTTCACAAACGTTAAATATATTTTTAAATGTATATATTTAAAAAAACAAAACAATTTTAAAATAGTTTTAACATGACAAAATGTCTTTAAACACTTAATGCTACTGTAAATGTTATGATTTTGATGGGAACATATTTTATTCACAAAATGTCATCCTTTGATTTACTTTGGTTTCCAATAGTTTGATTATTTTACTCTTTTTATATTGATTTTATTTATTTTTGTTGTCGGTTATAAAGGATTATTAGTATAACTGAATCTTGTTTTATTTCTTTTTCCTTCATATTTTTTGTGCTTTTCACTTGTATTTTCCTTTAAGTGAAATGATTTATGTCATGTTAAAACAGAGCTGGAGTGGATTGAAAAATACAAAACATACAATCGCTGCAGATCAAATATATTTTAATCTTTTTCATTTGTTGATGTAAATTAATACATATAAATTAAAAGAAATGAACAAAGATACCCCTAGTGATTTGATAGAACTGAGGTGACTATCTGACTACAGAGCAGGGGTCAAAAGTTAAAGGTCATCAGGCAGGTTAGTAGACTGATCATAGCCACAAAGCAGAGTCAGAGATTCATACGTTTAAGGACTAAAATCACTGTGCTACCCACTTTTCCTCAACCTGCATCACCTTCTACACCAGTTTCTGATTTCCTTCATTTCCCAGAATGCACCTTTTAACCCTGCAAGGAGCATTGAGTCTACATGCTTCCATTTCTGTATGTTAACAGTCTGAAAGTGTGATCATTCCCCTGTGGAGGTAAAGACAGAGATCATGATGACATTTAATGATTTGACAAAACGGAATCACCCCTTACTCTAAACCCAAACAATCTGACTGCTGCAATGCATTCTGGTCCCTACTTCCTACTCTTTCAGATGAATTTCTCCTTGTATCATTTTGACAGCTAAAACCTGTTGTCTGCTGCTGTTTTTAATGGCTTAAATATTTTGCTATCTACAGGAAAAAGACACATAAACCAGTCTAACTAGCTAGATATTTAGTACTGACTACTGTCACTACTGTGATTATAACTCTCTTTTACTGCAGCCAAGAGGTTTGAGCTTCTTCTCTACTTTTTACAATGTAAGGACCCCGACACACCAAGTTGACCTCACAGGAGAAGCACAGACAAAGGCTGACATGGTGAAAGTCGCACTTGAACACAACACAGGAACAAACAGCTGACTGCCACTGTGCGGCGTGCCTGCATTAGAGGATATAACCATCCTGATAATGAGGCTGAATTACTACTTTGTCTCATGTCATAACTGTACTTCAATCACTGAAAAAGCATCTGAGCAGGGATGTGGGCAGTGGTTCTGCCAGCAGAGACGGACGAGGACACAACAAGTCAGTGGTCTTTAGTTATATTACTACTATGTTCACTCCACTGTGAGTCAATTTAAATGGTGAAGCTGAGAATTGTTGCACCTGGCACTGTAAAGTTTTGCTTTGCGGAGCTGTGGTGTGGTCAGTCTGTGGTGTTTTACCTCTGGGAGAAGAAAAGTTGGAGGCAAAAACAACCAGACAACACGATTAGGCCCCAAATGATAGTCTGTGTGTTTTGTAATCTGCCCACATCAGAGAGGGACAACAAATAGGTGTGAATGTATCAGCCTGTGCAGAAACTCACTTCGCTTGCTATATTTTCCCAGAGTCCTTGTTAACATCTTTAAAAATTTTGTTTCGTTCGAGCAACAATCCAAAACCCAAAGAGATTACGTTTAGAGTGATAAAAAAATAATAATAGCAGATAAAGTTTTTAAGTTGACAAATCATTGCAGGTCTAGATTATTAAATCTGTCAAACAGATATTTTGACGACTGATTAATCATTTATTTGTTTTTTGAGCAAAAACACCAAAACATTTGCTCAGTCTCAAATGAGAGGATTTGATACTTTTCTTCAATACATTACACCCGTCCCATTTTACTGTATAAAACAAGAAACTTAAAGACATCAAGACATTAAAGACATTGGTTTGTGGGATATTGTAACAGGGATTTTTCAATATTTTCTGCCATTAAAAAATCATTAGTTGCAACCCCAGTATCACTTTTCTCTCTTGGTAAGACAGCGAATAAGCGTATTTCCCTATTCTTTTGAATGGACAACAGTCAATCAGAGAGCCCTCTCTCTCCATTGGCTGATTTAAAACACTGGTTTGGGAATGCTCTGGTGGTCGGGAGGGATTTAAGGAGTAGAGCATGAACAGAGATGTCCCAGGTTTGGGTGTGGCTGAGAACCATCTGTCATCTGTCAAATAAAAACAAAAACGCCCCTAAAATACTAAAATAAAAATGCTGAAAAGGAGTGATTGGAGCCAAACACTACAGTTGCTCAACAACAGCTCAACGGTTCGGAAACTTGGTCAAGCTTTGTAAAAGCATCAGATAATTATCTACAAATGCAGAATGTAGTGTGTAAATCTAAGCTGTCAGTCTATTTTTGCACCAATCTTTGAGGCCATATGAGGCATAACACCCAGAGTGACCAAGAGGGAAAAGAAAAATAATTGTAGCCCTGGTAGTTTAAACATTCAGAGTATTTCTATATACAAGCCTATGGATTTTATTTTACACAGCTCGTAAACATATTTTAGGAGACAAACTGGAAAAATCCAAACATATTCATCAGCTTTTTCACACTCCATCTGCAGAACGGTCTCGACTCGACTTCTTTGCATCTGAGTGCGAGCCACTGCTTCTGCTGAAGGAGTAACTTTGGTGTCCCATGAGTCTAAATGCTGTTTCAGGGGCTCAGAAACACTCGGTCTCTTCAGTAGTCGTTCATCCTCATTCAAAGGCAGATTCTGGTGGTTGTTTTGAGTTCTTTCACTCTGTTAAAACCTCCCTCATCTTCATCAATTCAACTCAAATCCAGTCCCCTTTTGTTTCTCCTCTACTGTGAGGGCGAGAACGTCAGGATCATCCACCCGATTACGAAGTAGAAGAGGAACACAGGGTACACCACCAGCGCCTTACGGTTGGGAGGCTGGCTGTCTGCAAGGAAGGCCGTGGAGGCAAATGTGGACCAGCCAAAGGACACTGTCACCACTGCCAGCCGCACGGCGAAGCTGACCGCCCCCGAGCCGCCCATCAAAACAATCCGGCACACGACCATGGCCACTGTCAGAGGCATGATGCAGTATCCCAACACACATAGGCTCTGGAAGAAGGAGATTGTGCCGCCCAGCAGCTTAGAGTTGAGGGTGATGATGATGGAGCCGAACCAGACGATGACAAAGACCTGGGCAGAAGAATATATTTCAACATGTCAGTGTGGAGTCAGCAGAGATATTTATCCTTTCACATAAGAAATGTAAGGTCATTTTATTCTTAATATTTTAATTTTCTGCTGTTTATCCAGAGTCCAGTGAAGGTGGATGCAAGCTTAGCAAGGTAGTCCAGACAACCCTTTCCCTAGCAACATCTTCCAACTCCTGGGGGATCCAGAGGCCTTCCCAGGCCAGATGAGAGATATTATCACTCCGGCGTATTCTGGGTCTACTCTGGGGCCAGGAAAAACCTCCAATGGAAGGCCCCCAGGAGGCATCCTGATCTGATGCCTGAACCAGCTTTACCTTCTGGCCCAGCGCCTCCTCAATAGTCTGGTAAATGCCCATGTTACTGTTGACAATGCACCTGTTGATCTCAAGCTCCATTTTACTTCTCACATATGAACTCATGATATTTGAACTCCTTTAATTGGAGCAGGAACTCACTCCCAACTTGGCGGGAACAATGCACCGTTTCCCAGTTGGAAACCATGGCTTTGAACTTGGGAGGTGCTGACTCTCATCTCAGCCACTGATGCTGTGTTATGTGCTGTTGGTGCTTCAATTAAGAGTTCATCATTGGTCTCACCTCTACACAGCTAACCAATAACAGTATGAAGTAGGTGTGAATGTCAGATCTCAGTTCAGTTCTGACTTTCACAGACAAAACTGAGGTGTGAATAATAAAAGTCAGTAGCTGCAGCTCTTTGGAGGAACAACCTTACTTCATATTTGTGGTGCAAATTCCCTGGTGCAATTTACAATTAGTCAAAAACAAACAAAACAACAGGCTGTGAATCAGTGGCTTCTGTAGCTCTGGAGGTTTGTGGCCCCACGACAGCCTACTGTCCTATAGCCAACGTGGTTTTGTCCGGTGCTCCTGTGTTCCTCGGTATGCAGTCTGTATTTTTCCTTATACTACTAAGTGAAATAAGAACTAATAAGAAAGAATGCAACCCTGCAGCATTAAAACATTAAAACTGAACCTTTCTTCAAATGTTAGCTGTGTCCAAATGTGTATTTTGTGCCAACTGTTAACTGGGACTGTCGTTAATGATTAAATTCTTAGAGGAAAAATGATAAGTACTTAGACAAACAAACAGTACTAGAGAAGATAAATAAATCATTTGAATACCTCAGCGAACTGCGGCCCTCCCTGGTCGTCGCTGTCGGCCGCGCCGCCCTGCAGCAGCAAGGCCAGCGTCACGCAGAGCAGCAGCGGACCCCACAGGTCCCAGTCCCGCAGCAAAGCCGAGCTCCGCTTCGGGTACAGCACGTGGACAAACTTATTCCCCACCGCCCGCAGGTCCCGCAGGATGGTCTCCTTCACCGGCTCGTCCAGCGTGGAGAACTCATCGTCTCTCCTAGACGACCCGACGGGCACAGAGATGTCCCCCTCCACCGGGATGTCCTCCGAGATAGAGACGTCGGACAGCCCGGCGAACGGCTTGCTGGCCTCCTCAGCTGCCGCCATCTTGCCGCACAGAGAAGCTTCTAACACGGACCGTCAGTTATTCCAGGAGTCCAGGCGACGCCGACAGACACAGTTTAACTTATAACACAACAAGACAGAGACTGGTACGACAAATGTTTCCCTAAACCAGTTGAGTCGGGTCTGGTTAGTTCAGTCCGTCTGCTGCTCCACGTCAGCTGAGGATTGTTTACTTCCGCAAGACGTGACGCACGAACATCCGTGTGGTGCGTTCAGGTACACTTGCAGAACTCGGGGAATCTGTAAGCCCAAAACGATTTTTTTTTGTTTGTTTGTTTTCTCTAAATGCAATTCAAACAAATAATACACAAATTACAAAAGTATATTACAGAACAAGAAACATCAGGTAAAGGAGCTAGAAAACAAGTAAATTAAAAAGTACTGAGCGCAATGTAAGTTAAAAGTTTCTGTGTTTTTCAGACTTACTGTAAACATAATTTACTGGGTAAATATTACCTGAAATCTTAAATTTGTTCTTTTAAACCTGAGAAACAGGGTTAAAAATTTTAATTTAACCAATTCATCATAACATATGCATTAATAGTCTGGTTTGTACCATGTGGTAAACTGCTGTGACGTCACCCATTGGTTTGTGAACTGCTGTTCTGAAGCCTCAAGTTTGGCTCTAAAAAATAGTTTGGTTAAAAATAGGCTTAAAACAAAATGTACTTACCGGGAAAAACTGAATCACTGACTCCTCTGAGTGTCTTTTAGAACAACTGAATGGTGAACAAGATATTTTCAGGCAAACACGTTGGAGCTAATTTTGATGAACTAAAAACACAATGACAAGTCAAGTGTCCGACACATCGCTCTGACCTCATATACAGATTAATAGGCAGGTCCCCCTGCATGTCAACCACGCAGTAGCCACGCCCTAAAACCACTCTGCTTTAACGTTTATTTTCTTTTAAAGAGGACCATAATTTGAAAAATGAACATCTTGTTGTATTGAAGAAAACTTGAAACTAGCCTTACAGACCATAAACACATAACGAAAATGTTAACTGAAGTAATAAATCAAGTGACAAGTAGGGTCATTTTCCCATAGACTTCAATACAATCAGACTTCTTTTTGCAGCCAGTGGAGTCACCATGATCGTCATTTGATAGAATGCAAATTTTAAGGCACTTCCACATTGGCTTCATTTTCCAGACCTGGAGTCGATGCCCATTTTTATATACAGTCTGTGGTATAAATTGATGATTTCAAGCCCCGAGCAAGTCCTGTAGTAGTCTTATTACTCTTCCATGAAGTCCGCTAGCATAGCATTTATGAACGCGCAGTGCCAGTTCTGGATCGTTCTCACAGCCCAGAGGTACGATGGGAGTGACACTACTGCGCATATTCAGAAGTAACCCCAGAAGCCAGAAACTTTTTTGGCATATGCGCCAGGCGAGCAACTTCTATAGAAATGAACGGGCGTCTTTTTTGATCCGGTATCCAGTTCTTATAATACATCCATGGCCCGGAGTCGACGTCCATTTTTATATACAGTCAATGGGCTGTACACGTTGCTCTGTAAAGAATTATAAATAACCACGTTCTTGAAGGTACCATTAACTCTGACGATGACGCATAAAATCGGCGACGGTCGCAGCAGAATCGTGTGTTTACGTTCGTGCAGCTCACAATAAGAATCGTATACTGGTCAAAATGGTGACAACTGTAGCCGCGGGTAGTGAATTTAAAATGTGTGAGGTTTTGTTTTAACGTGTACGTGTGTGAGGAAGCGGCAGAGAGATGGACTTCTTTAGGAAACAGGTGAAATCAGACTGCGAGGAGCTGCTGAGGCGCTTCCAGGAAACGGACTCTGTCCGCTTCGAGGTTTTCTCCAAAATCTGGAGGGAAATGAACTTCGCACAAATTTTCTAGTAGGTTTCCCTTAAAATACCACAATGGTTTCAGACTAAATATCTTTCAGGTTCTGTTATAAGCCACGTTATTACACATTTTAGAATAGCTTGTCTCTGGGTCATGTGACGTGGAGGCGTTTGAAAAAGAGGACACAATTATTATATTGTCTGTTGAGATATTTTTTCATACATTATTTTAGAATTCTTTTCAATAGCTTCCTCATCATGTGACCGAGTTGTTCACAGTATATAAATGTGTAGTTACATGGCCAATGAGGTTACATCAGTTTATATTACTACTTTGTCTTTTCAATAACTCACATCTCATTTGAGCCAGTGATTCACATATTCTCAAATGTGTATTTACTCAATATTAAAAACAAGCAGAATTTGCATTTCGCTGTGTATTATGTGTGTCAAATTTGGCTGTTGTTTACAGTGTACAACAAACAGGGGGGAAAATTATGAACATATTAAAACACACACAACATTTAAAATAAAACAACTAGAGAGGGATATAATTAAACATTTCATGAACATTAGCTGATGTCTTCAAATATCCAACAATTACCAGCAGCCCTTTTTTTTTTTTTAGAAACTAAGATTCAATTAATTTGAGGTATAAACTATGCATCATAACAATACATAATTCATACATTATTTTCATTGTTGATTGATTTAGATTCATTTTATGATTAAATGATGGTCTATACATTTCAGAAAACTGTGCAAAATGGCACAAGCTGATGTCTTCAAATATCCAACAATTACCAGCAGCCCAAAAAAACCCCAAATAATCAATTTACAATGATGAATATAATAAAACAAGTGAAAAGCAGCAAATCCTCACATTTGAGCTGGAACCAGAGAAAGTTAGACTTCAACTCATGACATGTAATCATGTTCAACATGTTTTTCCTGTGTTGCAGTGGCACTGTGGGGCATGAGAAGCGAGCGTTCAGTCGTCTGGTTCTGGACTCCACCTGCAGATTCTTCCTGCCGCCCTTCAGCTTCCAGATCAGAGTGGGAGGACTTTATCTGCTGTACAGCCTGTATCGGTGTCAGACCGCCTCGCCCTCAGAGCAGGTCAGGACATGACACATGTACATGGTCTTTAAAGGTTCAGCCCTGACATTATTTATATTATCTCCTACTTGAAATAAAGTGGATAACAAAGTTCTTCCCCTGGGTACAGATCCGTCTGGCGCTGAAGGACTGGGACGACATGAAGAAGTTCGAGAAAGACGCTGTGGACGCTCAGCACGTCGACGTCGTCTACATCTTCCGACAGCTGATGTTCCTCAAAGCGTTCCACTTCACCGCCATGCCCACTCAGGTGAGCTGGCTGCCTTCCAGCCACACACATTCACATTTTATATTCATAGAAACCTTGAATATCATTGAATGTAGGAATATTTTGTGTAGGTTAGGGACTTAACCCAGAGTCTGGACTGGGATCCTCTACTATCTTCCAGTGGCTCTGTTCCAGTTTGTGTATGTTTTTTCTTTCCTTCCTTCATGTCTTCCTCCTCCTCTTCCTCTCCTGCCAGCTCACCTACAATAAGAAGAAGAAGGTAGAGAGGTCGGCGTTGTGTGAGGAGTTCATCGAGCGAGCGTCTCGTCCGCAGCAGCTGATCAACATCGAGCTGCTGGAGGTAAACGCAAAGAGAAGAGGAGCATGAATTTCCTTAACTTTAACTCAGACAAGCCACAGAACTAAAAGGTTGCACAGTGATTTTCTTTATTTTTGTTCTCCTTGCAGGAATTGTCCAACATTCACGATCTCTACAAGAAGCTCAAGTCTTCTGTCTCTATGACAACAGAACAGGCAGATTCATCCGTCAACCTGATCCATAAAGACCTGGTCCCTCAGCTGCGCAGCACCGTGGTGGATTTCTACAAGTGGCAGCAAAGGAAGGTGAGACATCTCCACAGGTTTTTGTTTAAAATAATCTGTATGTGTGTTTTTCTAGACAACATATCTGCTATATAAACCGGTGCAAATCCTCACATTTCAGGCTGGAATCAATACAGAGTCACTTCGTCTTGCTAAATGACACTCTCACTAATAATTTCAGCATATTACAACGAGTTTTTTGCCCTATTTTTTAACTCTAATTTATTTACATTTTTGTACCTTTTAACCATTAAACTGTGGGAGTAATTTTTTTTTTCCTTTATGCATTATGGTCTTTTTGTCTTGTCATGTCAGGATGGTGCAGAGGAAGATGAAGATGACAACAGCGGTGAGGGAACGTCATCTCAACAGGAGGTGAGTTACACTATATTAAACCTTAAGCTCAGTGTACAGGACAAAGCTGCACGGCTTTGTACCTCTTTGAAGTTGCGATCAGTGTATTAATAAAAGCAAAATAAAAACTTGCACTTTTAAACACAAGGTTTAGCACCTCATGAAAGACGTCTTTCATTTGCACAAAGTTTCTGCATTAAAAACAAACATTTTTGGTTCATTAATTCTCAAGTTATGAGCAAATAAACGGTGATAACTTGAGAAATGATAAAGCACAGATTTTTGTATTGCTTCGACAAATGTGCACAAACAGTGACCAAAAGAACGAGATCACTGACTTGTTCTTAAAAGTTTAATATTTAAATGGTTTGAGCTTAAAAAAAAAAGTCTGTTGTTTGCACAAACAAACTGGAATAGTTGTATTCATATCCTGATCATACAGGCTGCCACCTCACAGAGGCGCCCTGTTTGCACAAGGTTCAGTTGTATTCCCTACAGATGTCATTAACCGTAGTACTGTCTGTGTAATTAGACGCACAAGCTGAGTAATTAAAAGTCCCATATAGTATAAAGATAGATTTCCATGTCTTCTTTGATTATAAAGCAGGTCTATGTTCTATATTAATACTGTGAAAGTATCAAAGCCTCAGTCCACAGAGAAATGCACACAGCCTGTATTCAGAAACAGCCTTAAAATGAGCCGTCAGGACTTCTGTAACTTTGTGATGTCACAGCAATGTAGTCAGCGCTCTCAGTCTGAGTGTTTACCTGAAATCTGTTATATTTTTATTTGAGAACTCAGAAAACAGTCAGTCAATCAGAAGAGAGGCTCAGAGCCTCCTCTCTTCTGATTGGCTCACTGACCTGTTGTTACTAGAGCTCCAGAGAGAAGCCTGAGAAACCACAAATATATCTTCTTATGGATCAAAAACTTAAAATACATACAACACAGGAAAGTGGAAAATATGGGACCTTTAATCTGAAACATGCAGATTTAACCATTAAGCTTGACTTGTAACAATCACTTTGCCATAAACATTTGCCACATTTTACCAAAGCAGTTACCAAAATAAAAGACTAACCAGCTGCTGCACACACACTCCTGAACAGCCTTTGGACTCTTGAACTTTGACAATACTGAGTGAGTGTGTATTTGTTTGTGGGTGTGGTGGGGTCCGTGTGTTGTTTCATACCAGCCTGGACATAATGAAAGCTGTGGTGGTTACATTTCACCTTTACATGACATCATCCTGCTTTGTCTTGTACCTTTATTAAAGCTGTAATAATAACCTCGTCCAGATAGTGGTGCTGTTGACTGACCGTCTGTTTGTGTCCTCAGTGCTCGAAAAGAGCCGGGCTCCTCGCCTCCATCAAATCAAAGGCGTACGGACAGGCATCAGAGGTTTGTGCTTTATGTTATAGATTTTAATATTTTTCTTTAAATATCCAGAAAATTAACATTTACTTTGGAGAATCTGTAAGTTTCTTTAAAAAAATGTTTGTTACGTTAAATGTAATCCTCATGAATCATACAGATGCAAAACCATTTGAGAGTCTGTGTGATTGTATTTTTGTTGTCAGGCCCCCAAGTCACGTCGTCATCGTCAGGTGGAGGTGGATTTCACCAGCGCTGAGGCTGGACCCTCCACCATGCCGGGTTATTCCAGGATTAGTAAACCGTCACTCAAAGCCAGAACCAATGAGAATGTACACATCTCAGGTAAATACCTCCTACTACCTGCCTTTATGCTGTTGTATGGGATGGAAGGTGTTAGGCTCTGGTGGTATCATGCTATTCAGGAATCCAGAAGATGTGAGATTCAATACCATCCCAACATACACTCCTTTTTCTATTATACTGACATGGAGACACTATTAACATGATGTGTTGTGGTGGACAAGACACACCAATCAATTAATCCCAACAAGACTTGTCCAAGTGATTGGCATTACACGTTGTTAAAAGTTATTCTTAGACCAGGACAAGTCAGACTGAAGGAAAGTGAACTCTAGATTTTCTTTCTTTTGACTTGAATGTTGCGTTCAATGACTCAAAGTCTCTTCTCATCAGGTGACATGTGGAAAGAAGCAATGACGACCACTGCGATCCATCGTCTCACCAGTTTGGACTCTGTTCCTGAAGGTACGCAGCCAACACACACACATCTGAAACACCTCATGCTGTGTTACAGTGAGGCCATCAGTCTGTACTGGACAGAGGAATCCTGTTAGAAGGTGATGAACGGAGGTGTTGTGAAGTTCTGACCTGTTGGTGGCACTAGGTTCATTTTAGATTCATCTATAGGAGCCATTTTCCAGTATTAAAGGTTGATGAGAACATACATAACTCCATGTAAGTTACATAAGTTCAGTCCAAACACCTAAGAGCAGAGCACTGAATGTGATGAATTTAAGGGATGTTACATCTTTGTTCATGGGAATGTTGTGTAGAGAAAAGAGTTGCATTATGTTTCTCTAATTGTTAATTATGATCTTCATTTGTGTCCTAAATTAAATTTACCAAGTATATTTCCTACTCAGTTTTAACACAAACTGAACATTATAACCTTCATGAAGGTCATAATTATACAGTATATTCAAAACAGAATAGGTACAATGGCAGAAGAAATGTAACCCTATTGTTTCATACCTGCTTTTTATCTTAAGAAATTATTGGACCAGGATCATTTTTTCCAATCTCAAGAATTTCTTCAACATAAACCAAATGTTACTGCATGTCACTAAATAATCTTTATATATAATAAAAGACAGATGACATTGTTTATTTCCCTCTTTTGTAACATTCACATGTTGATTTACTTTACTTTTTCTATTAATGATGTTTTATTTTTCCTCCTTTCAGCAAAACCAAAAAAATACAAAAGATTTGAGTGGACATGAAGACAATGCAGGAATCAACCTTCATTCTGACTGGAGCAGAACGTTTTTTAAGGATGATGTATCAGTGAAAATATATTATAATTGTAATTAATATTCTGTAACTGAAAGTTTGTCCTACCACTTACTGGCACTATATTACAAAAATGTGAATGCTTTTATATTTTTAAAGAACTGGTCTGTTAAAGAAAAACTATAGTTGTAACCCTGTTTACGTTTGTTACAAAATGTAGAGGTTTGCAAAAAGTAAACAACAACTTTTCAGAGTCATAAAAGATGAAGAAGTTTCCTGTTTTCTTTTTACATTCTTGCAGCCATCAGTAGTTGAAAACTCACTCTCTATCTGTCTCTTTGAGTAAGTGTTGTTACAGAAATGTTGTCTTTTACTCACTACAGGAAATGTCTAAATACATTATGCATGTTTAGGAGGGTAAATTCATAAAAACATCCTAATGAGGTTCATCTCTCAGGAGGTTCTTCTCTGAGAGGTTAAAACTGGATATCTGTGATGTCTTTATTTTTGCTTCTGGTGTTTTAAATGTTTTATAAAATGTCAGTGTAATTTTTACTGTTAATTTTGTCCATCTCTTTTTATATGTGACATTTGATTCAGACATAAAGTAAGAGGACATCCTGCTCACGTACTTTTGTCTGCTTTTGGCTTGGGCCTGGGTTTCATGGTTTTGGCCCCTCAGTTCTAATGACGGGAAATCTTAAACCTTAATCCAAAACTGGGGGTCTAAAGACAATATGTTTTTGTTTTGTTGTTTTTTTTTTAATGTAAAATGTTAATCTGAAAAGTAACAACAGCTGTTAGAAATACTCAAGTAAAGTACAAGTATTGTAAAACTGATATTAGTAAATGTACTTAGTTATATTCCACCACTGGACTTGACAAGTGTAAGTAGTGGTTTTGATCTAGATCTGGTCTGATGTGGTCTACATGCTGAAAAAAAAGTAGTGAAAATGCCATTTTTTTCTGTGTGTTTCTTATGTTTGTTTGTTTCTTACAAATAGAATAAAGGTTTCATGAATCTTTAACAGTTCTGAACAGTTACAAACTCTCCTTTCCCCTTCATTTATATGCAACCAAACCTATCTTACTAAGCTAACTTTAACCTGTAGCTGTTTAACATAGCTGGGTTTAGCTAACATTACTATTAGCATTAATGTGGCACATTTTTTCTACGTTAAAACAAATGTCACCAAGTAGTAGCCTAAACAAGTTGGTATTAAATAAATTTTAACTAAATATATCGCACTCATTTCTTTTTTTCTTTTTTTTTTTTTTACATCGTAGGAGAGTAGCTACTGCTGGAAACACAAGTTCAAGGACCAACGGCAGTGCGCGTGAAAGGTAAATATTCGTCTATTTCTCCCTGAATTCGATCAATTTGAACAATTGATTTCCATATTTTAGGGAACAAGTAACGACTTCAACTAAAAGAAATCTAAAATTGAAGGGTTAAATCACCAAAAAAAAACAAAAAAAAACGAGATGAGTATAATCATTGAGCGTGGATGTTTCCTACAGTCCGTGAAGGCGTCGCCGTTCGCCGCTGTGTGGCTGTAGATTTGCGGGTCTGGAGGATGAGGAGCGGCGGGGATGCTGCTGCCTCTGCTCCGCCGATCACACACTCGGTTCCGCAGCCAGTCTGAGGGGAAACAGCCGCAGCCATGGCCTCGGACAGTAAGTACGATCACATCCTCACCGTGTGACCGTCTCTGATGTAGATTTTACTGAGGATGGATCCTGTTTTCAGGCTCCTCTCCTGGTTTCTGTCTTTTTTGGGGGGGGTGGGCTGAATGAGAGCGACAGGATGAGTAGGCCAGTTTATCCTCTTTTTACCTAATAATACCATGTTTTTGACTGCATTTTATCCAGATTAATGATATTTAGGGCCCTTTATCAGTCATCAAACTAACAATAATTATGATATTCCTTCAGTATTCCTGCAGGGGCTCAGTGTGTTGAGTTGATAGTTGCCTCATCATGGCCACCTCATGGAAGTCTATTTTTGTATCTCTTGCACCAAATTATAAGATATAACGTACCACTTTTTATTGAGGCTTTATAAGCTTTAATCAGTGGATTTATTGATGCATAATATACCATTTTCTAATGCTTTATGGATCAGTTACAAGCCATTAATTAGAACAACTTTTTGGTGGCCAGATTGTGGAAAATCTTCCTTCTTGTCATACTGTTTAATTTATTATGGAGACCTCTCCAGTGGAATGTCTGGCAACTCATCTTTTGTAGAGGAGCTGCAACTCATTATTCGTAATTGGCGTTTTATTGCTTTTCAAGATGCGGTAACATCACACAGAACAAAGACAAACAGAAGAGATAATATTTAAACTAAGAATACAGGAAGAAAAAAGAAAACACAGGGCAAGTACTGGCTGCTGCTCACACATCCAGTACTAATGACATATAAGGGCAAACGTCACATTACATTGCTATCATCCCGACCATCCCTCCCATATACTGGGAACACCCTATAGGGCAAACAACACTTTGACATACAATACAGGCCGTCTCTCACAAATCCTGCTAGTAACATGCTGCATACATTAAACTGATTATTAACATTTACAGCTGCAAACTTGTTGGATTATTATTGAATCTTTTATTAACATTTATAATGGCAGGTGACTGAGGACAAATGTTTACTTTCAGCTCATTAAAAAAAGAGAAACCTGTTTAACCCGTTTACGTTTGCAGAGACTGCGTGGTATCGTTTTTGTTATTATTATTCAGATGTAATATTCCTGTCACATTGCTGCAGGGCCTGGTAAAACATGCTGTGCCCTACGTCCATTGACTATGGTAGTTAATGCACTGGAGGTAGAATTTTAAGAGACTTTTACTTCTACTTCTACTCCACCAGATGTCAGAGAAAATGACTGTACTCTTGAACCCACTGTCAAAACAGAAAAGGACAGAGATACTGCAGCAGTTTCAAGCTTTCAGCTTTACAAGAGTCAGAAAACAACTCCTAGTAATTACAAGGCGTGCCAATAAAAATCTTTTAAAAACCTCAAACCAGGACTTTAACAAACAATATAAACAAAGGGGTTCATTTTAGATCCATGCCATCAGCCGATATAAACCTGCTCTGAACAGTGGATTTAAAGGACATTGACAGTATTGTGTGTTTGGACTTTTAAAGAGTTTACACCTCTGACTTCATCAGACTAACTGATGCAATCACTTGGTATTTATCAGCTGCTTTCTGTCACCCCCACTAGAGCCGAAAGCTTGAAACAGCAAACATGACTGTGTATTTTTCTCCACATTAAGCGTCTCAATACAAGACACATGATTATCTTATAAATATGATGTATAGTTATAGGTTTAAATACCCTACAGAATGGCCAAATGAATCTTTTGTGAACTCCACAGAGGTTTTCAGGGAGGATTAAGATGAGGTTTTACTTCATCAGAAGGCAGAGTGAAGGTGCGGCAACAGGTACAGCAGGTAAACAAATGTAAAGGGCAAAAGTAGGCAGCTGCAGCAGGAAGGTGCAACTGTTGATCTGACAGGTGCATCAACCGAGGCGCTAATGGTGTGATGAGGGCCGGGTGTGCCGGCAGGTAGAGGATCAGAGGCAGAGAGTTGGTGTGTGGGAGAGGAATCACAGGGTCTGTCTGTATGTCAACTCCTGAGAAAAATATCTGGTTGTTTAGCTGCTAGATGCTCCACAGTCTTCACCAGCTAGTCTTGGTGCTGAGCAGGAAGTGGACAGTGGGTTTATCACAGCCTCATCAGGGGAAACAGCTGCTGCTGCTGGAAACACTGAGACTGAACAGTAAATGTCGAAAAGAGGCTGAAAAGTGAATCCAGGTGAATCTCCAGTGATTGGACCTCGTACCAACATTAAATCCTCGCAGTTTCAAACTTGAAACACAGAGTGTTTGACATTTTGCTTAAAAAGTTTTTGGTCAGGACGTCACCAGAATCAACATATCATCAAAATAATTCAGACTAAATCTAATAACAAATCCTGGGTCTTGAATATTTATTTTGTAGACAGTAACAATAGTTATGAATTTGTGCTTCAGGAGACAGATGTTTGGAAGTCCATTTAGCAAAAACTTCAATTAGCAAAGTAATTGATTATTTTTTAGTTGTTTAATCATCAATAAATTGACCAGTTAATAATGTCTTGTATCTGGTGCTTATCTGAGACCGATTATGAGACAATGATCCTCGTAGCATAGACAAGTAAAAGACCTTTACCCGTCCTCCAGTATATAGGACCCCAAGACTGAAAGGCTGAACTCTTTGTGGTTGTTTGAGCGTCTCTTTGTCGTTTTGAGTCTTCTGGAGATCCTTTCGTGTCTCTTTGTGGTTGTTTTGAGTCTCTTCTGCAAAGTTTTGCTTGTTTTTGTCGTCTTTTAACTGAGCTCTGTGACACTCAAACAAGAAATATTAAGTCACTTCATACAGGGGCTTTGACCCAGGGGCCCGAGAGGACAAGGGGCCTGGTCGGGTCATGTAAATTGATTAATTATCGTACTAGAAATTATTGTTATGTACAGCGGGAATCCTGCAGACACCCTGCCTCAGGTTACATCTCTACAGGAAACGATATGAACTCATTGGTGGAGGTAAAGAGCGGGTCGACCTACAGCAGAAGGATATAGCTTGCACCACATGTGGACATAACCTCTTCACCTGCTTCTGTCTCCGGGTGTGACAGTCGTTGCTGAGAGGAGATGCCAAACAGCGTCACACTATACCCTCAGCGCGCTCCGTTAATCAGAAGCTAGCAGTCAGTTATGTGCGATGCTGTTTCTGGTTATTGTGGCCTAGTTACAGACTGGTTCAATCTCTAATTCATAGCTCTCTCTCCTCCGCTGTGGGCGCAGACTGCCGGCTGACAGGCTGAGAGGGGACTCATGAGTAATATTTAATGCTGCTGCTGTGTGTGTGTGTGTGTGTGTATGTGTGTGTGTGTGTGTGTGGGGACGATTAGCTGTATCAGGAAATTGAAACCGCCTTGAAATCCATGTTTGTTCCTGTTTATTTGAGCTCTGAGGCCTCCTAATGGAGCTGTGCTGCCTTCCATGCTGACTGACGGGAAATCGGACTCATCTCAGTCACTTAAAGTCACTTTCACTTTTCTCCAGATGCTGATTGGAGTCACGCAACAGTTTCTCAGAGGGGTAGATTCTCAATTTGGTTGAGTCAAAATTACCGTGGGTGAAGCTAAAACTGCCCACTAGGGGGCATTAGAGCCGACAACAATCTGACAAACACTGAACCTTGATATTTCGTCGCTTTATCATTAAGTTTATGTTATCAAACAGTTGCCAACTAAGCCGACTATCTTGGTCATTAACGAGAATAAAAACAACAAAAACTTTGTACAAGAGATATTTGCAGATCTTCCAATCGTCGTACCGAATGGTCTTCATCAGGAGAGTATCCAGTAAAAAGTGCTTAAGAATCGAGTAAGTGGACTTTGAGTTTGAGATTGTTTTGTCAGTGCTGCAGACTGAAAATATCCCCAGAATTTGGGAAATTACATTTCAGCAGTTCAGGCCTTTATTCTCCGACACTACAGCATGAGACGGGGTCACGTTCTTCACCTTCCTCCGTGTTGTTGTGTCTCGGTGGTAATCAGGAAAGGACGGCGGCCTCGCCCAGTGGGAGGCAGGAAAGAGTCGATGATTGACCGTTCACACAGGACGCAGAAAAGCTCGAGACTGAAGAATCAGATTTCATTGAAGGGTAAAACACGAACAGAGGTATGAAGGAGAGAGTTTTTAGAGAGCAAGTTTCAAGTTTGTTCTCTGCCTGAGTTTGTTTGGGGAGAAGAAAGCAGAAGACGAGAGTAGAGAGGAGCGAGGAGCGAGGAAGAGGAAAGAAGAAGGAGGAAGGGAAGACATGGGCAGCAAAGGAGGACCTATGGAAACTCAGCCAGCAGCAACAGACAATGTGCCAGAAACAGAAAGCCGTGAGCTTTTCATTTATCAGCTTCTTCCTGAAAAGTAGAAAATGTTTCACGATGATGAAGCCCAGTTTTTTATTTGCCTCTTGTCTCGACTGTTTAGTTTCAGAAGTTTCCTTACTGGTAGTGATGGGGAGAATATATCGAGACGCTGAAGCTCATTTCCCCTCTGTGCAGTTTGCCTTCTCAGCACTGAAGCTTGTGTCAGATACTGTTTACTAAAGCTACTATGTGACTGATGATGATGTCGGAAGCATCAAATATCAGGAAGCTCTAGAAAGAGATGATCATAAACATGGACAGGGAGCAAAACACCTAAACTGAACGACACAAAACTACTACAAGGAACGTGTTGCATCTCTTTGTGGTTGTTTTGATTCATAGTAATGTACTGCCAAAGCTACGTAGGTCAAATAGGCCTGTGATCCATTTTATACCCAAGGATGCTGAAATTTAAAGAATAACAGCAGTGTTTCTCATAGCTTTAGGGTTAATTTGGGGCTAGGCCTCCATGTAGAGGTGCTGCATGTGCACGTGTAGGGAGCTGTGCGTTTCTGTGTGTGTGTGTGTGTGTGTGTGTGTGTGTGTGTGTGTGTGTGTGTGTGTGTGTGTGTGTGTGTGTGTGGTGCGCTCATGTTTTACACTTGTAATGCAGCCTTTCACCACTAGGTGGCAGCTCAACATCAGCTTTGTGAAGCGATGGAGTTGGACAACAGCTCTGCTCCC